ATATTTCTCAATTCGGCTCCATCTGATGTTTGCTAGGATCAGATTCCGGCTATGTACCTTTGACAGGAATATCATGGAAGTCTCCGGTTCTGCCCATCAGAGGGTGCGTGACTGTGAGTTGTCCATTACTGAAGGAAGATGATCATTTTGATCATATGATAAAGATGCTGAGGCCGGCGCTGCGGCTCACTAGGCTAATCCTCCGCCTTGCAGCACCAGCACACCGGGTTCTAGTCCTGGTCGGGGCGCCGGATTCTGTCCCGGTTGCCCCTCTTCCAGGCCAGCTCTCTGCTGTGGCCAGGGAGTGCAGTGGAGGATGGCCCAAGTGCTTGGGCCCTGCACCCCATGGGAGACCAGGAGAAGCACCTGGCTCCTGGCTTCAGATCAGCACGGTGTGCCGGCCGTGGCAGCCATTGGAGGGTGAACCAACAGCAAAGGAAGAACTTTCTCTCTGTCTCTCTCTCACTGTCTACTCTGCCTGTCCAAAAAAAAAAAAAAAAAAAAAAAAAAAAAAGATGCTGTCTGCCAGGCTGCTTCATACAAAGTGATTTCCTCCTGCAATTAATACATATTTTGCGCAGAGCAAGTTATTTGAAACTATACATCATTCTGTATCTAACTTCAGATTTGTTCACTTGCTTTTATTCACATGAACTCATGAATTCTTCCTTTAGTCAATGGGCTATAATCCATTACTATCATTTTCCTGCTCAGATGATCACAGATTTGGCTAGAGAGCTTTCTGTGTCCTTTTGATATGATCTTAACCCCTGGGAAATACTTGGCTTTTGTTCCGGGACATCTTGTGCTTTGGCCCCAGCCCTAGAATTGTCTTTTCCTCTAAGCAGCCCTGGGCTTTCTCAGTGGGTAATGGCCTCTCTCTGTCTCTTCCTCTCTGTTTACAACTCTGCCTCTTAAGTAAAATAAATCTACTGAGAGGTTTTTCATTTGCTGGTTCACTCCCCAAAGGGCCACAATGGCCAGAGCTGAGCTGATCTGAAGCCAGGAGCCAGGAGCTTCTTCCAGGTCTCCCACACAGGTGCAGGGGCCCAAGCGCTTGGGCCACCTTCCACTGCTTTCTCAGGCCATAGCAGAGAGCTGGATTGGAAGAGGAGCAGCCAGGACTCGAACCAGCATCCTTATGGGATGCCAGCACCATAGGTGGAGGCTTAACCTACTGTGCCACAGTGCCCACCCCATTAAATAAATCTTAAAAAACATACACACTGCTTTCACCCTGGCCTCTTGCACGCACGTCCTCCTCACCCTCCTCAGGCACCCTGCCTGGACGTTTTCATCCCCCACATACAGCTCTGACCCCTTCCAGGCTGCTTCCAGCACAGGCTCCCAGCAGGGGGCTGCACTCCCTTCCCACAGCCCAGGCTGGGCTACTTGACCTGTGTTGAAGCCCTCTTCATTCTGCTTGGGTTCCGAGTCCTCACGTAGAGCACCCACAATCACAGCCTCGCCCAGGCTCTGACAACCCATCCACGTGCCCTCCTGCTGCTCAGGCTACCTCACATAAAGCACCCCACACGTGTCAGCACAGGCAAACAGCTAGCCCCAAGCAGAGGAAGCCCAGATGAACCCAGAAGTCTCAAGAACCTCCCAATTCATAACCACTCAGAAACTACAGGGCTGGCAAATGACCCAGGGAAGGCAGCCGTACTGTCCCCTGTCTGTTACTTTAATTAACCTTAGGCCCATTATAATATCGTTAGCATTGTGGTTTTGGCTGTGGGACCCACCTCTAAAATAGCCATGACAGACCCAAAAGGCCCTCCCTTATTAGCAAAGAAAATGGTTGACACCCCTATTTCAGCAATAGCCCACCTTGCTCCCAGAATTTTACTATCTCATCAGTATTCCTGCTCCATCATTATAAGATAAAAATGAAAAATCCCCCTCAGACACATTCTCTGCTAATATGTGGACTCCCACTGACTCCACCTCAGCTAACAGCCCCCAGCAAGCCTTCCTCCCTGGGGAGGTGGGGTGCCCCTCTCACGTAGCTCCCACGCCAATGCCCCCCAGCCCACAAGGACACCCAGTCCAGACTGCCCCTCCCTGCTGCTATCGTCTCCACCTTGCTTGGCCGTGACAGTCCCACTGGGCCACCCCCTCCTCCATTCACCTGAGCTCCTATATCCCAACAGCCCCTAGCATGGAGGCCCACCTTTGCTCTGCTCCATGTAACAGGTTGAGAACCCAGTGATTCAGGAAGCCGGAGAAGAGGAAGAGCCCAGCAAGTGCTAACTGCACTCCAAGGCTACTTTTCTCATGAGATTTTGGATTTAGTAACATAGACCCAACAAAGCCTGCACTGGCTCATGATTCATACTTCCTTTTTTCCTTTTTTAAAGATTTATTTTATTTATTTGAAAGACAGAGTTACAGAGAGAGGTAGAGACAGAGAGAGAGGTCTTCCATCTGCTGGTTCTCTCCCCAGATGGCCGCAATGGCCGGAGCTGCGCTGATCCGAAGGCAAGAACCAGGAGCTTATTCCGGGTCTCCCACTTGGGTACAGGGGCCCAAAGGTTTATTTATTTATTTGAAAGAGTTACACAAAGAGAGAGGTCTTCCATCCAATGGTTCACTCCCCAACTGGCCACAATGGCAGGAGCCGAGCCAATCCAAAGCCAGGAGTCAGGAGCTTCTTCTGGGTCTCCCACATGGGTGCAGGGGCCCAAGGACTTGGGCCATCTTCCACTGCTTTCCCAGGCCACAGCAGAGAGCTGGATCAAAGTGGAGCAGCCAGGTTTTGAACCGGTGCCCATATGGGATGCCAGCGCTTCAGGCCAAGGTATTAAACTGCTGCGCCACAGCGCCAGCCCTGAAGGCTGTTAATTATTGTGGGAAGATGCCACTTTTTCCTTCATGGATTCTTTGGGAATGAAAATAAATCTCTCATGCCAACCTCTTCGAAATTCAAGCCTTATTTCCTGGCTCAAGGGCCTTAATATAACTGCCTCTGGGGGCAGGTCTTCTCCCCATGGACAACAGAAACTAGTGGGGTGTCCATGCAAGCCAGAGTGGGGAAGACTGAGAGCTCAGGCCATAGCAGGTGAACACCATGGCTGTCCATCATGAGTGAGAAAGCGAGGACAGCGTCCTCTGCATATTTAGGGTCTGACCCCAGTACCCCATTTCCTGGCCAAGCCACTGGCTGCAGGAATACAAAGTGTGACAAGACATAGCTTCAGCCTAGCACAGTAACTTCCCAGACCCAGAGTAGCTCATGATCAGATACATAAAGTGCACACTGAGAAAGAATTTTAATAGTTCTATTTTTAAAGAATCCATTTTATTTATTTGAATGGCAGAGTTATGAGGGGGAAGGGCGTGGAGGGTGCAGACAGAGAGGGTTCACTCCCCAAACAGCAGCAAAGGCCAGAAGCTAGGAGCCAAGTTTCTTCCAGGTCTCCCAAATGGGTGGGCAGGGGCCCAAGCACTTGGGCCATCTTCCATTACTTTCCCTGGCACATTGGTAGGGAGCTGGACCAGAAGTGGAACAGCCAAAACTCAAATTGGTACCCACATAGGATTCTGGCACTGCAGGCAGCAGCTTAACCTGCTATGACACCATGTCAGCCCCAAGTCTTAATTTTCAATTCCAAGACCTTGTGGACCAGAAAAAAATTCAATGTAGCAGCTTGAACGCCCATTAGGATCTTTCACTGTCATCGTGAGCCACAGTGAGGTGTGGGTGGAGTAGGAGTGCCTGGGACATGGGTTCAGCATGGTAAGCCCTGTTCCTGGTCAGAGCAGTAGGGAGAAAGGGTGGTTTGGGGGCTAGGTCACTCAGCAAGCTGGAGGTAGAAGAGACACAGCACGTTCCTGCCCTGTGCTGCACAGGATGTAGGTGAGCTGGACTGAGACTGGGAACCATGCGGAGGCAGCCACAGCTCATGCTGAACCCTCAGATGAACCCTGGCACTGCGCCTCTGCTAAAGAGGCCTAGAGAACCTGAGCAGCTAGACAGGGCCGGAGACCGGGTGTGGAAAGGCAGGGCCACGGTGTTCTTCACAAGACCATACAAGCCCAGCTTGAATGCTCTGCTTTTTTAATGTTTATTTATTTATTTGAAAGGCAGAGTTACTGAGAGATAAAAGATCTTTCATCCACTAGTTCGCCACCCAAATGGTCACAATGGCCTGGCCAAAGCCATGGTCTGGAGCTCCATTCAGGTTTCCCAGTGGGTGCAGGGGCCCAACCACTTGGCCCATCTTCTGCTGCTTTTCCGGGTGCATTAGCAGCGAGCTGAATCAGAGTTGAAACAGTCAGGACTTGAACTTGTGCCCATATGGGATCCAAGCGTTGCAGGTAGCACCTCAACCTGCTATGCCACAACACTGGCCCCAGAATGTTCTATTTTTATGAACAAAACAGGGGCAGGCATTTGGCACAGGAGTTGATGTCATTTGGGATGCCCACATCCCATATCAGAGTGCCTTGGTTCAAGTGCCAACTTACTTCTGATCCTAGCTTCCCACTAATGCGTACCCTAGAAGGCAGCAGGTGATGGGTTGAAGTACTTGGGCCCCTACCACACAAGTTGGAAGACCCAGATTGAGTTATGAGTTCCTGCGTTTAGTCTGGCTAGCCCCGACTGTTGCAGGAATTGGGACACAGACAAGTAGATGGAAGATCTCTACCTCTTGCCTTTTAGATAAAGTTTAAACAGTTTTGTTTTTTGTTTTTTTAAATAACAAAAAGAACAAGCAGTAGCCCTTCTCCTAGCCCCCAAGTGAGCTCTCAGAGCAGAAAGGACTCGTCCGGTAAAGCACAGTGCGGTCCAACAGGACAGGTCACAGCCTCCCCCCAAATGAGCACAATGCTGCCCCCTACCCCCAGGGCAGCCACGGAGCCGTGAAGCCACAGCACCAGCTCCCAAGTCCCCTCTTTCTCCAGGTCACCCGTGCACAGGAGGCAGCTCCTGATCCTCTCCAGGGGAAGGGCCAGGTGGACAAAAGTAGCTGCAGACAGTACAGGAGCCCACATTCCAGGTTCAACAGCAGTTTATTCCCCAGGAACAAAGGTAATGTGGAAGCAGCCGCTCCCAGAGAAAACAGGAGCACAGATGACAGAGTGGCACGAAGCGGCCTGGAGCAGAGGACGGCACACCTCACAGTGGACTCGGTCGTGGCCCTGGTTTCCTGAAGCCACAGCACTTGGCCCCTACGTGCCCAGCGCAGAGGTGGAGGGTGGGGACAGGGAGGTGGGAAATCTGCCTCCCCACCAAGCAGATGAGCACAGCTACCCATTCCGAGTAGCCCAGAACACCACGATGTCCCTCTCACGAATGGAGGTCGACCGGTAAGGAGAGAGGCACAGGTGTCACGGACAACCTGAATGCAACCACGAGGCCCTCTGTGGCTTCCAGCTTTCTGGTGGGGATGGTTAACCTGGCCCAGCTGGACCCCCGGGCAGCTGTAACGGAACTGCTGCCTCTCCTCGCCTCTAAGGGCCCAGGCTAAGTGGGATCACAAGCCATTCCCTTTCCCAGAGGATTTGCTTCTACCCTACTTCTGGCACAATTTTACTCCCTGAAATTCTGATCCCCAAGAAGACAGACTGACAAGGAACTGGAGAGTCCCTGCCCCACCCGCCCTGCCCAAGATGCGAGAGCTTCTGCAGCGGGTGAGACCTGGGACACAAGGTGCTGTGGGTGGGTTCCGTGCTCCAGGCCCAACTTGCGGAACACACCCCGTGGCTCCTCTCCCGACTGCATGGTGGCTTTGGGCTGCGCTCCAGCAGCGAGGACAGAGGCTGGGTCCTGAGTCCACATCACAAGGAGGTCTCGTGGAGGATGAAGGTGGGGCTGGTCCCCTGATGGACTGGGCTGGCCTCAGTCATGGGCTCCTTGTCGCCACTGGCCCTCAGTGCCCCATTCCTCATCTTCTCTGGAAACAGCTCAGTATCCACAGGGAGGTCCTGGGGAGCACGCAGAGCAGAGGGGGCGGAGCTGGTGAATAGGATAAGGGGTGGGAAGGATTCTGCTGGGAAGGCGCGAGGTCCTGCTTTGATGCCTGCTGGAGGGGAGCACAGAGGAGCACAGCGTGGGGAGCACGGAGAAGAGGAGGAGGAGGGCAGAGCGGCCTGGGGTCCTTCTGCACCCCAAACACCGTGGCCCTGTGGGCAGAAGTAAGGACAGGCCCCAGACATCAGAGGGGAGAGGGGAGAGGGGAGAGGGAGAGAAAGGCAGGGAAGGTACTGGCCAGCAGGGGGCACCGCGCAGGGAAGGGAAGGCCGGGGCTCCGGGGTCAGCAGTTCTACCTGGCAGTGGCTTGTGCAGTGCAGCCGCTTCTGCCAGGACAAGGGCAGGAGGGCCAGCAGTTTGGGCAGCACTGGGTAGATGGTCCGTGGGTTCGGGGGCCGACCCCGCATTCCTCCTGAAGGCAAAGGCACTTCTGAGTCTCTCGGGACCCATCCGGAGATATGTAGATAAATCCAGATACCCAGAGTGGCCCTCTGCTCTCCGTAGGGCCCAGGAGGTCCCAGCTCTCCCCACCCCCAGCCTAGATCTCCGTGGGCAGCCCACACCCCCACCCACGGCCCTGAAGGGCAGGGTCCCTTTGCCCAGGCTGCAGAGTAACCAGCGCCCCCTTTTCACTCCTCGGTGCCACAGTCCCCGCCCTCACCAGTGAGCAGACTGACAATCAGGCCCACCACAATGACGGTGGTGGAGTTGTGAGCGCTGTACCACAAATAGGACAGGGAATAGAGCCGCTGCAGCCCTGTGGGCCTGGGGAGAACAGAGGACAGTCAGCAACCGGTTGACAGGGCACTCCTAGGACACTAGACTCCACCTGCTTGCACGACCTTGGGACCTCACACTCAGTATTTCCCTGAGGTCCCTGCTAGCCCACCCCTCAGCAAGGCCCCTGTGAAATCCCTCAAAGCAGAGCTACTACCCTCAAGGTGAAAGAGCGAGCCCCATCTCACTTGGAGAGGGAGGTCGAGGGCATTAAGGTGGTCACAGTGGCGATGGTCAGATTGCTGGGTAGGGAGAAGCTGGACCCATTAGGAGGAGAAGGTGCCAAGCCGGAGCCCATGCTGGTCACTATGCTCCCAATGCCGATCCAGAAGGCCATGATGAGTCCTGCCAACAGGCCCACGATGGCACCCTGCCCAGAGACACGGTACGCTCTTGTCACAAGGCTGACCCCACCAACCTTCACACCAGCCCCCAGCACTCCTGGGGAGAGCCTGCCAACCCATTTCCAGACCCGTCCCTCTGTGCAAGACCATGGAGCCAGAGGCATCACTCACAGGAGGGTTGGCACAAGGAAAGAACATCCCAAGACAGAAGAGTCCAAGCAGCGGACCCCCGACCATGCCAAAGATGCTGATTGCAGCCTGGGAGATAAGGGTTGAAGAAAAAGAGAAAACACAGGCTCAGAGGCCCCCAGCCTCACAGAGCACAGCCGCCCACCACTGCTGCAGAGTCCCGCCCGGCAGATCTGCCTTTTCCACCTGGAACAACCAGAACACACAAGGAAGAGTAAGGGGACGTCCCTTGTGGTCTCTGCTGAGGCTGACCCTAGATCCCTCTTAGCCAGCAACAGCCCAGAAATGGCTACTTGAGTCTGTCTACAGCTAAAGGTGGTCTATCACAGGGGAATTTCTGACATCCATCCCACATATGCCCTATAGAACTGCTTTCCTCAATTTCCTCTCTCCATCAATTCCTTCTTCCCTTAAACATTGTTTTCTGGAAGAGGTGTGGTGCAGTGGGTTCAGTCACTGATTGTGATGCCCACATTCCAAATTGAAGTGCTGGTTAGAATCCTGGCTGCTCGGGGCCAGCTGCCCACAGTGCCGGCACCCCATATGGGCACGAGTTGGAGTCTCGGCTGCTCCACTTCTGACCCAACTCTCTGCTATGGCCTGGGAAAGCAGTGGAAGATGGCCCAAGTCCTTGGATGCCTGCACCCACGTGGGAGACCTGAAGAAGCTCCTGGCTCCTGACTTGGACTGGCCCAGCTCTGGCCATTGTGGTCATTTGGGTATTGAACCAGCAGATGGAAGACCTCTCTCTCTCTCTATCTCCTTCTGTCTGTAACTCTGCCTCTCAGATAAATACATAACACCCCCCCTCAAAAAAAAAAAAAAAAAAAAAAAGAATCCTGGCTGCTCTGCTTCTGATCCAGCTTCCCACCAATGTGTCCCAGAAGGTAGCAGGTGATGGCTCAAGTGCTTCAGCTCCTGCCATGCACATGGGAGACCTGGATTGAGTTCTGGGCTCCTGTCTTCTGCTTGGCCCAGTTCTGCTGTTGCAGCCATTTGGAAAGTGAACCAATGGACAGTCTCTCTCTCCCTCCCACTGTCATTTTGTCTCTCAATGCATGAACCTCCTTTTCTAAAATTGCTGCCTCCCCTCCAAAGCTATTACCTGTAGCACAGGTCCCATCTGGGAGGAAATGTAGGCCATGCCCAGGCAAAGCAGCCCATAGCCAAAGGCTGGGGGAAACAAGAGAGAGGAACGGTATAAGTGAACACAAGAAAAGGAAAGCCACGTCCCCAGCCAAACCACAGTGACACCGTGGCAGCTGTTCCTCCCACCTGTCCCCACCCCTCCACAACTCAGAGACCTCCCAGGAAATGCCCGAGAGGTCAACACCCATGGCAGCATAAGGCTGTGTGCTTCAGCCGTGGCAGCGAAAGGTTGTGCGCTTCATCAGGGAAGCGCCGAGCCCGGGATGAAGCAGGTATGTTACAGTAGACTGCTGACAGTGCACATCTTAGAGAGAACGAGACTGCGGAGACGTGGAGGCATAATCCCACCGAGGCTTCTGGAAAGCATGATGGCCTGGGCTTCGGAGCACTCAGGGAACCAGGGTCGAATCAGGTCCTCCATCGTAACAGTTGCCAACGAATTGAAAGCAGAGGATATGGTGCTGGAAGGGAGGGTGGGAATGACGAGCTGCACTGAGCCCAGGAGCCGAGGGGGCAGACCTCCCAAGGGTTCCCTGGAGACCAGTGCCCTAAAGGTGGGAGAGGTGACATACTCAGCCACAATGCCAGCCTCACAGGGGACACAGGGGACTGCAGAGGCGGCCCAGAAGCCAAGGACACTAGTCCTTCATGATAAGAAGGTAAATCTGGTTCAAGTAGGTTGATTCAGTACTATAAATGAGCCCTTAACCAAAACGGGGGCATCTCTGGGAGAGGGCATGCTCCGTCCCACGGTGATGAGCCGTCCTTCATCCTCCCGATGGCCGGGCTCAGTGAGAAACTCAGGCGAGCCTCTTCCCCACTCACCCACCCCCTTGTGCGGCGCAGGGTCAGCTGCGCCCAGCCCGAGGGGTACCTGAGGGAGCCACTGAAGAGGCAGGCGACAAAGAGGCCCGGCAGGCCCGGCAGGCCCTTCAGCAGGTCCATCACAAAGTAGAGCACGAACTGCAAGCAGAGCACAGGCGCACAGCCCTCCTTACCGCTGGGCCGCAGAGAAGCCCCTCCGTACCTGCCCCGCCAATCTGGAGAGCCCAGAGTATCTGCCGACCCCGATGACCCTTAGCAAGTGGCGGGAAAAGGGGCTCCACAGAGAGTGGCTCACACCAGCTCCGCCTCTCTCAGCTGAGTCTGTTTTCTCCTCTGAAAATGAGGCTGTCAGGAGGCCCAGATGAGACCAGGTGGGCGAGAGCGCCCAGCAGAGCTTGTGGTGCAGTAGGGGGTCCCGGGCCCACAGCTCGGGAGGGCGAGCACTGCGACTGGGTGGTGCCGGCAGCTGGGAGCTCACGAGCTAGAACGGACTTTCCCTGCAACGCCCATTCAGTCCTCATGGCCCCCATCCAGCCGCTCCTCGTGGGGGCCGCTCCTCGCGGGGGCCTGGGCTGGCCCTCACTGGCATAGCAGGGGGCCAGGGAGGCCTCCTCACCTGGTCAGAGGCTGCTTGAGACTGCTGGGTGCTCATGGGATACTCCTGGTAATAGGCGAACATAACCAGGCCAATGAGGCAGCCCATGCTGAGGGCCACCTGCTGACAGGGGAACACCGCATAGCAGGAGCTGTCCAAGAGGCCAGAGCCAGGGAGAGAGCCGATGTTAGCAGACACCCTGGGCATGTGCCCCGAGCTTCCAGAAAGGGGACTTCTGTCCTGCCTCCAAAGGGTCAGCGTGCGCCCTGGCATCCAGCCCCACCCCGCTGCCTGCGGGGAAGCCCCTGCCTCGCCTGCCTCCCACCCCAGCACTCACAGCACAGCCGCTTTCTCTGTGCGGGAACTGAGGTAGCGCTGCACCTGGGCCTGGTTCACCCCGTACAAGGAGAGCATCATGAAGACGCCCCCGAAGGCCAAGGTCCAGAAGGTATGCCGCACAAAGGGATCGGGGTCCAGCCTGCAACAGACGCCAGCCAGTCACTGTGCACAGCCCAGACACGCTCAGCCTGCCCGCCCTCCTGGCAACAGAGGTCAGCAGAGAGCAGAGCAGAGGCGCCACCGCAGGGCCGAGGAAGGGACAGAGGGTAAGAGGCCAGGCGCACCCACACACACAGCGAGCTGGAGGAAAGGCTCCCTTTCTCCGGCCTCAAGCCACGCGACACCAGACCCTTGGGGAACACCAGCTGGGCACCTGTGACCACCTGCGCAGAGCTGCGCCTCAGGCTCCCAGCCTGCCCCGTTACTACAGCCCTGAGACCAGGCTCTAGCATGGGCTCTGCTCCCAGGCACCGCAGACTCCAGCCAGGGGACGGGGTGGACTTACTCGATCCCAGAGATGAGGCCATGCTGGGAGGCCACATCCCACACACGCCCCAAGCCGCCCACTTTGGCCGACCCCACGATGATAACCGCCAGCTGCCCTAGGAACATGACCAGTGTCTGGAACACATCTGTCCAGATGACGGCCTTCAGCCCACCCTGTGGGGAAAAGACAGCACACCTGTCACATGTCTCTCAGAGTGGCCACTGGGGAGGACAGCACGACGGCAGTGAGGATGCTGTATGGTCCCTGGGGGCCTAATTCCCACCCCATGCTCTACCTTCACGGGTCATCCCTAAATCTCATCTCACTCACCCTGGAGCTTCACCCCATCTCCTCCTACTCCCCTCCTTACAAGACCCCTTCCCGCCACCCCCTGGGGCTTCCTGCACTCACCAGAGCAGTGTAGATTGTACAGACAATGCCCAGGGTCAGCACTGACAGCCACAGATCAAAGCCAGTCACTGCAAGCAGATACAGTCCTGTCTGACCCCTGGAAGAGGTTTGGGCAGGGTGGGGGTGGGGGAGCTAGAGCAGCCCTGGTGAGAGCAGCCACTCCATGTCACAGAGGTGAAGTACTTGGCCATGGGATGCAATAAATCATTCACAACAGAAGAGAAACACGTGCAGAGCTCCAGCAAGAGGTGTTGATTCGCCAATCCAATGGGGCACAGCTCTCCAGGGAGGGGCCCAAGCCTGCTTCTACCCTGCATGAGACCAACCCCATGGCCTACGCAGTACACCAGCTCCTGGTCACATCGGGTTCTCTTCTTCACACTGTCTTTTTATGGGCCCCCTCTAATGGGGTTTTCTCTGCTTGCCAGGGCTGGGAGCCAGGGCTGCAACTCCTCACCTGCATTGAGGGCCAAGGATGGTGCATAGAGCACAACTCCCATGTAGATCACCTGCCGGGGCAGGAAAGGAGGTGAGGAGAGGGGATGAGAACAGGAGGAGAGCAGGAAGATGGAGCTCAGCTCCAGCAGCCCCGCGGCTTCCGTCTCCTACCCCACTCCCCACTCCCACTCCCCTCCCCTCCCGAATTCTGGCTCGCTGCCAGCACTGTGGCATTGGAAGGCACGGGCAGCAAGACGCCTCTGGGGGCTGCAGCGACGCCGACGTCTCGCGGATCTTCAGTCCTGCCAGTGTGAGAACGGGGCACGCTCCACCCCCCTCAGCGTGGCTGTGTTCAGCCCCCACCACGTCCCAGCTCCCCTTCCATCCTCACTCCCCTTACCATCTGGAAGATGAAGGTCACAGTTCCACAAATCCGCACCACCTTATTGAACCGCAGCTCCAGGTACTGGGCAGGAGCGTAGAGGGAAAAGAGTACGGTATTCATCCTGACTCCACCCCACAGGATTCACACACAACCGCCCTCAAGAGGCAGGGGCCTGAGGGAACCCCCATCTGGGCCCTCAGCACAGCTCTCTGTTCCCTTCAACTCTGACCTTACCAGGAGAACTGGGAAACAACAGGGGATTCTCTGTCCCTCTCCTTGGGTGGAGGGGATCCGGGACCCCAGCTCCCTCCTGCGTTCCCTGCTCACCTCATAGGCACTGGTGAGATGCAGGCGGTAGAAGACGGGGATGAAGACATGTGCAGGGATCAGCAGCCCCAGGAAGTAGCAGCAACCCAGGAACCAATACTGCGTCCCAAACCGGTAGATCTCCGATGGCACACCCAGGATGGCCACGGCCGACTGGAAGGTGGCCAGCAGGGACAGAGCCACCGGGAGGCAGCCCATTCTGCGGTCCGCCAGCAGCAGCTGGCCAACAGTATGCTTGCCCCAGCCACGACAAGCATGGTAGAGGCCAATGGCAAGGGAGAAAACCAGCAGCAGGCTGAACACCACGTAGTCCACGAGGGAGAAAGTGGATGTGATCACATCCGAGTCCGGGGCTGGGGTGGGGGGAGCTGAGGTGGTCTCCCCCACGCTCATCCTCGCTGCGTCTGCGCTTTGCACCCGGGCTCTGGGCTATCCTTCGGCTGGACGGTGGCAGCCAACGGCTACACACTGGACTCCGGCCAGTCTCAGAATCCTCCTTGTGCACCGAATGACATGGTCCAGGATGAGCTGCAAAAGAATCAGCTCCCGATCAGGCCCGTCCTACCTTCCTGGCCACGCACCTGCACACGCCATGCCCGTCACACTGGGGCCAGCCAGCAGGGCGGTGACTGCCCCTGAAGGTCCTGGGTCGGATCTGTCAGGGAGGCAGCTGAGGGGGGACGCAGCAGGGACAGTCAGGAGACAGTTAACTTGGCAAGGAATGTTGGGAGTGCAGGACTATAACAGATACTAAATCTCCACCCAAAGGAAAATCAAGTCTAGCCCGAGTTTCTTCTGAGAAACTCCCTCCCCCGCCCTGCAGGCACGGACCCAGTCACTACAACGTACTAAGCCATCAGACCCAGCCTGGCGCCACAGCCCAGCAGGGAAGGAGGAACGGAGACTAATAACCGCAGGGCTTCCCTGGCTCACCCTGGCCTTGGCCCTGCCTCCCACGATCCCCAGCGTCACCATGCTGAAGGCACCCCTTTCTCGGTACAAGTGAGCTCAGTACATGGGGCTCCATGGCAGCCCCAAACTCCGTTCCAGATGCCCCCAGGTCAACTGCTCCATGCCCCCTTCTTCACGTCCTCCCTAATAACCACCAGATAAGCCTCTGCCATCCACCTGTCGGCCCTTCTACCTGCCTCACCGTGGTCGACGGCAGTCCAGCAAGCGAGCACACTGGATTCAGAAGTGAGAGGCAAGATGAGAGGGGGTTCAGAGTTACGATTCTAGGACCACTCTGCAGAGAAGCAAACTGGCCAAGAAGCTGGAAGCAAGAGGAACGTCTCGGGAGAACAGCCCTACCGTGCTGCGGGCAGACACCTACCTGGAGAAACAACCCCTCCTCCGAGCAGAGACGCCTGGGAGCTGGGCAGAGACTGAGGGTCTGGCTGGACAAGTGGCTGAGGTGAGACCTGGAATTAAGGGTGGGGCAAGGCTCAGCAGTTATTTGTTCTGGCCCCTTCAGGGGACCAATGACTGGAGCCCAAACGGCCCTATCACCCACAGCCCCCAACTCAGCCCCAGAGGCTCCAGAATGCAGAGCAGGGAGCTCATATTCACCAGCATTCCTACATGGATTAGGCTCTCAGCCTAAGTAACGTCTGGCAACCCTGTGTGTTAGAGAGCTGGAAAGGAGGCCCTGGGAGAAGACAGGAACGTTGCTTTTCCAATTCCTACACAAGAAATTTGAACACTCCGAGAACACACAATTTGCAGATGAACAGGAACGGGATCGCAGCGTTTCAAAATTTAAGCCTTTGGAGTTGATTGTTACAATCCCCTCATTTCACAGACAAGCACACTAAGGCCCATGGGGTTCAAGTGCCATTTCCAAAGGTACAGCCGATCAGAGTCAGGAACCAGATTAGAAGCCAGGCCTAGTGATTCTCCATCTACCCTCCACAGATAGCATCCTGTCTGCAGAAGCAACCCCCTGAGGTTCTTATTATTATGGGAGAGAGATAACAGAGAATACCATGCATTTAGATAACCTAACATGATGACAGTTGACATCTTGATTAAAAAAAAAAAAAGATGTATTGATTTACTTATTTGAAAGGCAGACAGAAACAGAGACCTTTCATCGACTGGTTCACTCCTCAGAGGGCGGCAACCACCTGGTCTGGGCTAGGCCAAAGCCAGGAGCCAGAAATCCCACCCTGGTCTCCCACCTGGGTCCGCACTTGAGCCGTTCTCTGCTGCCTTCCCCAGTGCATTAGCAAGAAGCTGACTCGGAAGCAAAGCAGCCGGGACTCGGAACCAGCACTCCTAGACAGGACGCCAGCGTTGCCAGCAGCGGCTTTGCTGTCCCACAATGCTGGCCCCAGGCAGTGTTTTCTGAACATCTGCTATACACCCAGCAGCACGCTAAGTGCCTTATAAACATTCGCAGTAATAAAGTAATGAAATAGCAGCAGCTAACACTTTTCTTTTCTTTTTTTTTTTTTTTTTTTTTGGCCAGGCAGAGTTAGACAATGAGAGAGACAGAGAGAGAGTTACAAACAGTGAGAGAGAGAAAGAGAGAAAGGTCTTCCTTCCATTGTTCAACCTCCAAATGGCTGCTATGGCCGGCGTGCTGTGCTGATCCGAAGGCAGGAGCCAGGTGCTTCCTCCTGGTCTCCCACGCACGTGCAGGGCCCAAGCACTTGGGCCATCCTCCACTGCCCTCCCGGGCCGCAGCAGAGAGCTGGACTGGAAGAGGAGCAACCGGGACAGAATCCGGCGCCCCAACTGGGACTAGAACCCGGGGTGCCGGTGCCGCAGGTGGAGAATTAGCCTAGTGAGCCGCGGCACTGGCCAGCAGCTAACACTTTCTAAAACCACATCTCAGGTTAAACAATACTCTCTAGTTCTCAAAAGGAAACCAAGACCTACAAGGGCAAATAACTCGCTTAAGGCTGACAGTAGCAGGATACAAAACAAGAGAGAAACAGCGCTGTCTGTGGCTCGGACAGATGATTCACCAGAGGCCCTGCCCTCGGCACTCCCAGATCTGGCACAGGAGCAGACTGCTAATTGTAATCAGTCATTCATGGAACACAGTTTAGATTTCAACTAACCTAGACCCAGATTAATATGAACTGTCTTCCACTCTTGCCTATTAGGTGAAAGATCAAGCTGTCTTCTGGCTCTCCCACACTGTTCGGGCAGATCTTGTGTGACTGGCAAGGTGTAGTCTCACATAAACCACACCTGAACTCTGAACCTCCCGGGACCAGTGAATAGTGGAAACCAGAGCAAGCAGCCTTGGATCACATGCTCTACAGAGTTACAGATGTGAGTTCTTAGAGCAAGGTTCCAACAGGCCACTCTGGTTTAACCTGATGATGCCCTGGGCCTCTGCACATTGCAGCACCCCGAGTTTTCTCATTCCTCCTTGGCAAGTTTTTCATGCTATGATAGAGATGCTGGGAACAACAGGAGAGCGAGAGGAGAGGTCTGCAAATAAGAACAGGTGGCACTAAAGCAGGGGTAGAGAGCCTTTTTCCTGCCAGGAGTCACTGGACATTTATACATCATTCACAGGCCATACAGAATTATCAACTTAAAAATTAACCTGCTATAGATTTACTGAATTTCAAGTCCTATCCATGGCCAGCCCAAATGATTTGAAGGCCTTAATCTGCCCGTGGGCCATAAGTTCCCACCCTTGCACTAAAGGGACAGGCAGGAGTTGGAGAAAGCAAAAACTGTCCCAGTACTGACTATGACACAGCGGACAGAAATGGAAACCCTGGGGGCCTGTGTTGTGGTGCAGCAGGTTAAGTTGCTCTATACTGGTGCCTGTTCGAGTCCAGGCTGTTCCATTCTGATCAGCTCCCTGCTAATGTGCCTGGGAAAGCATCGGAGGATGGCCCAAGTCCTTGATTCCCGGCACCCACCTGGGAGACTGGGAAGAAGCTCCTGGCTCCTGGCTTTGTCCTGGCCACTTGGGGAGTGAACCAGCAGAAGACTTCTCTCTCTCTGCAACTCTTTTTTTTTTTTCCTTTGTGCTTAATATCTTTCTTTTTTATAGAAAGCTTTTATTTAACAAATTTCCTAAGTACAACTTTTGGATTATGGCTGTTCTCCCCCCATACTCACCCTCCCACCCCCAAACCATCCCACCTTCTACTCCCTCTCCCATCCCATTCTTCATTAGATTCTGTATATACAGAAGATCAACTCTATACTAAGTCTATACTAAGATTTTAACAGTCTGCACCCATACAGACATATAAAGTATAAAGTTTGAAGACAAGTTTTACCGTTAATCCTCATAGCACAACAAATTAAGGACAGAGGTCCTACATGGGGAGCAAGTGCACAGTGACTTCTGTTGTTGATAACAACTGACACTCTTATTTATGACGTCAGTGATCACCCGAGGCTGTTGTCATGAGCTGCCAAGGTTATGGAAGCCAACTCTTCCAAAATAAATAAATCTTCAAAAAAAGCAGGGTCGGGGGGAGAGCAGGGGCTATGGCATAGGTTAAGCCTCTGCCTGCAGTGCTGGCATCCCATATGGGCGCCAATTTGAGTGCCAGCTGATGGCCTGGGAAAGCAGAAGACGGCCCAAATGCTTGGGGCCCTGCACCCGCATGGGAGACCCGGAAGAAAACTCCTGACTCCAGACCAGCCCTGCTCCAGCTGTTGTGGCCTTTTGGGGAGTGAACCAGTGGATGGAAGACTACTCTCTCTGTATGTAACTCTGCCTCTCAAATAAATTAATAAATCTTAAAAAAAAAAAAAAAAGAAAAAGATATGGAGCCCCTCTACTGCTGGGGCTTCCTAGTAGAATTCTATTTGCAGGGGTGGGCATTGCAGCTGGGTTAAGAGTCCCAGCTGCTCCACTTCCAATCCAGCTTCCTGCTAATGCACCTGGGAAAGCAGTGGAAGATGGGCCAAGTGCTTGGGCCTCTGCACCCATGTGGGAGGCCTGCATGAAGCTCCTGGCTCCAGCCTGCCCCAGCCCTGGCCAATGTGGCCATGTGGGGAGTGAACCGGTGGATGGAAGACCTTTCATAACTCTGCCTTTCAAGTAAGTAGAGTACTAAAGACAAAAGAATTCTATTTGCATGGGGTACTGAGAACCCTTCTGGATGGCAGGAGAGAGAGCCAGGAAGACAAGAAAAACCTGAGTAACAAAGCCTTCCTCAGACACCATTCTTTTTTTTTTTTTTTTTTTTGACAGGCAGAGTGGACAGTGAGAGAGAGAGACAGAGAGAAAGGTCTTCCTTTGCCGTTGGTTCACCCTCCAATGGCGGCCGGCGCACCGCGCTGATCCGATGGCAGGAGCCAGGTACTTATCCTGGTCTCCCATGGGGTGCAGGGCCCAAGCACCTGGGCCATCCTCCACTGCACTCCCGGGCCACAGCAGAGAGCTGGCCTGGAAGAGGGGCAACCGGGACAGAATCCGGCGCCCGGACCGGGACTAGAACCCGGCGTGCTGGCGCCGCAAGGCGGAGGATTAGCCTAGTGAGCCGCAGCGCCGGCACACACACCATTCTAAGAACAGAGCAGCAGCTAACAGGCTGCCCTGATGGAAACCCTAAAGTCTCTGAGGGTGTGGGAGCCAAGAACTGAGCTACCTGTCATGGGGAGGGCACAGCCACGTGGGGGGCCCTTCTAAGATGCCCAAACCCTGTGGTCACACGCTGCACCCGACTGCTCCGACCCTACAGGGCCCAAAGGGGCCACAGCAGGAGCAACTGTCCCCCAGAATCCCTCGACATGAAAGGCTTCGGGACCCTCACTAAAACGCAAATGGCTACGAACATCTCAGAGAATCCGCCAGCCAACTAGATGCAAACATGCATCCAGGAGACTCCAGGCAGATCCCGGGGGTCCGCGGAAGCACGACCTGGAGCAGCTACTCAAATGAGCTTCGGTCGACTCAGCTGGGCTTCCGGCTGACCCTGACCAAGCCAGCCCTGCCGGTCCCCGAGCCCGGCTCGCCCAGCGCCCCGCGCCAGGACTCCGCGCCACCCCGCCTTACCTCACCTCCGTGGCTCGGCCAGGACTAGGAAGGTCCCCTGCTTCTACCTGAGTTCAGCATCGCTCCCTTTTCCTGGAAAAGCAAGGAAGACGAATGAGGGAAGTCTCTCCCGCCCCTACCACCTCGCCAGGCTCCGGGGACGCCGCGCGCTCTCAGCACGGAGGTGGAAGGGACAGGGTGCCCGGGGCGTTCCCAAGCTCGCGTCCGGCCGCCGGAGTTTGCCCTTCGCCCTCCACTCGCTGGTCCATCACTCTCACCGCTTCCTTTCTCGGCTTCTTCCCTTCCCTCCGCACGTGCCGAGTTCACCACCTCGCCCCGTTTGCACTTCAGTCCCCGCGCCGGGGGCCTGCCGGTCCCGTCCCACCCCGCCTCTCCGCCCCCGCCCTGACGTCGCTCGGCCGAGCCTCTCCGCACTGGTCCACACCCTCCCGGCCCACCTGCCTGGTCTCCACACGTGGGTCGCCGGAGAGCCGGGGCAGCAAAACACAGGGAGGGTGACAGCGAGGCCCCGCCCCCGGCCCGCCTGGCCGCCATGTTTACTGAGGGCAACTGAAGGCACCCGAGCCGCTGTGCGGACGCCACCGTGGCGTCCGGACGCGGGAGACGCGGGGCTGGAGGATCCCGCAGTCTGCACAGGCGCCTTCGCCAGTCCCCTCAGAACGAAAACTGGGGCGCACGGAAACGCGCGGTACCCCACGCAACCAGCAGCAACTCACAGCCCGCCCCGGCCGCCAGGAGCCGGCCGACTAAGCCACGCCCCGGGGCGGGGGCGGGGCCGCGGTGTGGTCTCGCGAGGCACAGAAAAGGTCGAAGGAAGCGAAAAATGGCGCTTCGCGAGCCGGGCAATCGTACCTGCCCGGTGCGCTGGGCTGCGGCCCTGCTCCTCGCTCTGGGCGTGGAAAGGGCTGTGGCGCTACCCGAGGTACAGGAGCAAGTTTGAGGTCGGGCTGAAGCAGGGCCGCTGGCCTGCCGGTGTGTCGCGCCCGCCCGCGGCAGTCCCCTCCCCGACGCCGGCCTTGCGCCCCGGCTTCGTCCCTGGAGGGCAGCCGCCGGGATCCCGCAGCCGCGTCCGGCTCGCGGCGACACTCTCGTCACTCTGGCCTCGGGCGCTCGCGCCGACACCACGTTCAAAGGCCTTTGAAATTTGATCTCCTCGCTGCTTCATCTTTGAATGACTTAAAAACATTGTTGGAACGGACGGGTCTCTGGCTCTCGGGCTCGCTGTCCACGCACTGTGCCGCGGTTGGACGGTACCTTCTGTGGAGCTTGATGAGTTCTCGGAGTACCCGCAGCCTCTTTACACCCGGCCAGGTGGGGCTGTCTGAAGGAGGCGGCTCTGGGGAGGGCATAGCAAAGACATCCCCTCCCTGGCCAGCTGTGGCACCCAAGTGTCCTGGTCCAGCCTGGTAACAGGGGCTCGGGGTACTGGCGGTGAATTCTTGGCACCAGTTGGTTCTCCGTTTTCTGTCTGGAAGCCTAACACGTGTGTTTTCTCTCCTGCAGATCTGCAGCCAGTGTCCAGGGGGTGTGCACAACGTGTCCGCAGTGGCGGTTTACTGTGAGCAGACACCGGGGCTAACGCTGCGTGCGCGCTGCTGCCTGGGTCCGACGGGCGCCATCGTGGGGTGAGGGCGCGGAGGCCATCCCTGGAGGCTGGAACGGTTCCCACGCTGGCGGCTGCCCGGCTTCCCGGCTTGGCTTTGCGGATGAACGCTGGTGCCTAGTTGGAGGCATCCAAACTCTGGTTCTCAAACTTTTAAATGTGTCATAGCACGAGGTTGTTAGAAACACAACCTTGTGTTTCTTTATGGATGAAACTTTGTAAAAGTCATAATGTTTGTGTAGCTTTTTTTAAGGCTTTTATTTATGATTTTTTTATTTATGATTTTGTTTTAAAAAGAGCTTTGGTCTGCTTATTATCAAGCCTTTGGGTTATTTATTGTGTGTCTCCATGAAATTCCTCCAAGACACTGCTCCGCGGCTCTTGTTCCTTTTCTGGCTTATTTATATTTGTGTTGGGACAAGTTCTGCCTCTACCTGCTTGTACAGGTTAGTCTCTCAGATTCACTCCTTGGCCTTGCTGCCTTTCTCTGCACTCACAAGAGTTTCCCTGGGTCTTGGTGCCTCAGCTGTACCCATTCCGCAGGGGTCTGCCTAGGCCAGGCCTTCTAAGCACCATTGACTCCTCCAGGCCCACGGGCCTGGGCACCTCCAGCTGCTTATTAAATCCTCTGAGTGTACCCTCACATCAAACTCCAGATGTTATATCTGGCTTCCATCCTCATCTTTCCCTAATCTACCTAAATGGGTCTCTGTATTCCACTTTCTGAAAAGCAAAATTTTACCGTTATTACTTCCTTGCTTTAATATTTAGAACTGTTGCCCTCAGGATAAAGGCCAAACCATGAAGCACCACAGACCAGTCCCGACACACTTTTCCAACATTATCCTGATTTCTCAGCCATTCAAACTCTCCCTAAGGGTCCAGCTCCAGTCAGACTGGCACACCCCCCAAGGCATCCCACCTCTCTCCATACCCAAAATTACCATCCTCCAGCAAATTAGGACATAGTAGATCTGCAATTCCAACACCTTTGGTGAATGATCTCAGAGTAATGCCTTTTTGTTTTTTTAACTTCTGATCTTCAATGTCCATAGCAGTCTGTGGATGGTCCTGTGGATTTTTTTCCCATATTGTAATTTTTGATGACCGTCTGGTTCTGTATTATATGCCAGTAAAGGGCTAAGATGCTGAGTTACATGTTTTTTATATTCTCCCAATTTTTGTAGTTTAGAGTGTCTCAGTAAAGGAATAGACAGCAACAGGTATTGCAGAAAAAAAAAATTTAAATGTTGCATGGTCCTTGATGTCCAGGAGTTTGTCACCAGTCTATGGTAGAAAATGGACTTGGAAAAACTCTCTTTCATATGACTTTTTTTTTTTTCCACTTAAAGGAGTACTGTGGATCTGAGGGTCGATATAATTTGAGATCCACTATTCTACACAAATACTAATTTCTTCAGTCTATGCACATGTTCGTAGGCAAACTGATGAGGACGGTGCTGTGCAACAGAGCTCTCTGTAACAATGGGAATGTTCCATGTCTGGACTGACCAGCACAGTGCTACTAACATTTCTACTTCAAATGTGGCCAGTGCGAGGGAGGCACTGGATTGCTGGGTTGAAGTGGTTAAAGTAGCCGTGGGTAGCTAGTGGGTGACGGTAGTGGGTAACGCGAGCCTAAAACGTCAACCTCAGCATCTGGTCTGTGACTCTGAACCCTGCTGTATTCACTTGATATTAGCTGAAGAGGGGGTTGCGTAGTCCAACACAGACCTTGCCGTGGAAGAAGAGAAAGCAGACATCGTTACACACACTTTGTTTCCTCAGGCTGGATCTCCAGAACTGTTCTCTGAAGCAGCCTGGCCCAAACTTCCCTCAGGCACACAGCGCTGTCATCATGTAAGTAGTCAGGTGCCCTTCTGCCCAGAAAGCGAATAATGGCTAAAGGTTGATGGGGAGGTGCATATCGGCGTCTAAACTTGGGACAGTCGGGATGAGAATTGCATTACCACTCCGGAAAGCTAGGGGAATGTCAGCAGGGTCTTCAATGAGCAGAGTGCTAACGGTGTGTGCTTTGCAGAGAGCTGCAAACAAACCCGCTCCAGGGTGACCTGACCGACACCTTCCGAGGCTTTACACAGCTCCAGACATTGTGAGTACGGGGACAAGATGGAGGGAGAGAACCAAAGGGGGCAGTGCCATGAGCTCAGCAGCTTAGGCTGCGTACTGTGACCACTGTGTTGTCTTCAGGGTACTGCCGCATGATGTCAGCTGTCCTGGGGGTATTAGTGCCTGGGACACCGTCACCTCTTACGCAGACAACCAAACCTGCCAAGGGCAAAAGAACCTTTGTAACAGCACTGGAGACCCAGGTACACTGGCTCACCTCACCTTCCTTCCTTGTACAGTTCTCCACTTTAGAGCAGAAAGCCAAAAATGCCTGAATGCATTTTGTTCTGAGGTTCTAATGACCCTTGGAAAGAAAAGATCTTGAACGTTCTACTGTAATTATTAGGTGTGATGAGCTGTAATCTTTCCTGTCCCTTTGACCTAGAAATGATTGAGAGAACCTAACTTGAAAAGGTGTTTCAGAAATACACCTAATGAAATCCGGCGGTGTTCTCTACTTCTGTCTCCCAGAAATGTGCCCTGAGAATGGCTCTTGCGCCCCCGATGGTCCAGGTTTCTTGCAGTGTGTGTGTGCTGATGGCTTCCATGGATACAAGTGTATGCGCCAGGTGAGGAGTTGGGCCTTGCGATTGGGGGTGAGGCATACATGGTAAGAACCTCCCTGGAAGCAGAGCCAGAGGTGAGGGGCTTATGCAGACTCCCCGGGGGAGGAGCGCGGTAGAGGTGCCCGGGAAGACGGGGAGGGTATACAGGAGAGAAGCTGGGTTGGGGTGTGGAGTGAGTGTGGTTTTGATCTGTTGTTCCAGGGCTCGTTCTCACTGCTTATGTTCTTCGGGATTCTGGGATCCACCACCCTGTCCATCTCTGTCCTGCTTTGGGGGACCCAGCGCCGAAAAGCCAAGACGTCCTGACCACAGGGGTGTTCTGCTGCTCTAGGACCACCAGCCAGGGAGATCTGCGGGCCAGACGCGCGCGGTGGGCCCGTGGCGGCTCCTCCAGGCTGAAGCTGCTGTCGGAAGGCAGGCGGGGAACTGCACCGCCAGGAGTGTCAGGCGCGGGCCCTTGCGCGATTCCACGTGTGCTGCTGACTATTAGAATAAACACTTCTCTGTTTTTAGGAAGGGCTTCCTGCCTTTGTGTTTCTTGATGGGGGTGGGAGGTACTTCTCGGGGGCGGCCTCCTCCGGCCCCGCCCCTTCCGCGCCCGGCCCCGCCCCGCGCCGCCGGCTGCCCGCGCCGCCGCAGTGCCGGCAGCCGCCGAGCGCGCCAGGGGCTCAGCGCCTGCAGCGCCCGCCTTCTCTCCGGCGCCCGGCGCGGGCAGCCACGTGGACCGATCCGGCGCGCCGCTTCGCGTGCTTCCAGGGGGCTCCCCGCGTCTCCGCGCTCCCCCACGCCGCAGCTCCGTCCCCATGGCGGCCCTGGTGTTGGAAGATGGCTCGGTCCTGCGGGGCCAGCCCTTCGGGGCCGCCGTGTCGACGGCCGGCGAAGTAGGTAAGCAAGCCCGGGCGGGCGCCCACCTCATCGCCCCGCGCTGATGCTGCCCCTCTCCGCCCAGCCCGCCTGCCCGGACCCCGCCATCTTCCGGCCCTGTTCGGGGGCCATGGCCGGAGCCCCGCTGGGCAGCCCGCGCAGGGCGCGCGGGGCAGGGTTGCGAAGGGTGCCCTTGCGCGAGCCCAGCCCCGCCTCTGTCCTGCAGTGTTTCAGACCGGCATGGTCGGCTACCCCGAGGCCCTCACCGACCCCTCGTACGAAGCACAGATCCTGGTGCTGACGTACCCGCTCATCGGCAACTACGGCATCCCCAGGGACGAGCTGGATGAGTTCGGCCTCAGCAAGGTAGCCACGCCCCGTGCTCGCTCTCTCTGCGTGCCTGCTGGCTGGGCGCTGTGACCTCTCAGTCTAGTGACAGCGCTGGCACTCGGCCGGGCATCCCGGGGAGAAGGAGGGTACCCGCTGCAGAGCGCCGTCCTTGGGTTGGGGGTCGCAAAGTTCCCTGGGTGGCAAGGAGCGCCGTGCTGGGGGAGGAGCAGAGAGCTGCCCCCTGTGTTGGGGTCTTCAGGGCACCAGACATAGCTGAAATGAGTGGGTATTTAGCAAAGGCATGGCAAGAGGGGAGAGGCGAGGGTGTTACCCAGGTTGCCAAGAATGCAGAAGTAAGGAAAAAAATCCTGCAGAAAGGTTGGGTAACAGTGGACGCAGAGGGCCTTGGAGTCCAACCAGTGGAAGTGTTTTAGCAGTGGAGTCCTGTGTTGGGAGCATTGCATTAGGTTGACCAAAACTAGGGGCAAAGACACCGAGACCCCACCAGTGACAGTGGGTACAGCTTACCTGCAGCACCGGTGACACCTGGGCCCCCATACCTCGTCCTGTCTGGCTTTCTACATGTCAGTGGTATTCTTACCCCTCATAAGAAAACTCAGTTTCTTTTTACCTGAGGTTTCCCCTCTTCCTTCCCTGCTATTTGGAAACTAAGTTACCCTGTGCGAGTTCAAGCCTTAAGGTGGTAGTGGAAGGCTGTGGGTGAAGCCACTGTTCATGATGCCGGCATCCCATATCAGAGTGCAGGTTCAAGGCCTGGCTGCTCCACTTCCTACCCAGCTCCCTGCTAATGTGTCTGGGAAGGCAGCAGATGATGGCCCCTGCCACCTACATGGGAGACCAGGATGGAGTTACTGGCTCTTGGCTCTGGCCTGACCCAGCCCTGCCTGAGGAAGGCTAGTATTCCTCAAAACTTGTTTTGTTTGAATTCCTGGTTTGTTGAACCCTGAATTCTTTTTTTTTTCTTAAGATTTATTTATTTATTTGAAAGAGTTACACAGGGAGAGAAGGAGAGGCAGAGAGAGAGAGAGAGAGAGAGGTTTTCCAACCGCTGGTTCACTCCCCAATTGTCTGCAATAGCCAGAACTGTGTCAATCTGAAGCCAGGAGCCAGAGCTTTTTCCGGGTCTCCCACATGGGTACAGGGGCCCAAGGACTTGAGCCATCTGCTGCTTTCCCAGGCCAGAGCAGAGAGCTGGATCGGAAGTGGTGCAGCTGGGTCTTGAACCCTGAATTCTTAATTTGCCTTCCCAGTCACCTTGATGCTGGAGAGAGTTAGCTCTGGGAAAGGAATCAATGTCTTCATCATAAACCTTTATTTTGTGATAGATTTATTTATTTATTTATTTTGGAAAAGTCACCGAGGGAGAGACAGAGTTCTTCCACCTTCTGGTTCACTCCCCAGATGGTTGCGTTGGCCAGGGCTGGGCCAGGCCAAAGCCAGGAACCAGGAACTCCATCCAGGTCTCCCACGTGGGTGGCAGGGGCCCAAGCACTTGAGCCATCCTCTGCTGCCTTTCCCGGGCTGTCAGCTGAGAGCTGGATCGGAAGTGGAGTAGCTGGGACACACACCGGCATCCAGTGGCTTCAGACGCCAGCCCCCATCAAAAGTCTTTGAATGCACGACACTCTAGTTTGTAATGCAGTGTCCCTTGAATTTGGTTGGCGCATCAGTTGTCAACTTCATCAGCTCCAGGCACACGGCCAAAATGGAGTTTATAAAATAGACTGCTGAGACAAGGTGAGCACGTCCTCCCTACAGCCAGCACGATGCTTCTGAGGTGGGAGAGAGAGACGCGCTGTCAGTGCACCTGCACATGTGTGGTTTGCTCCAGCCGGCTGGGGAGGGTCCTGCCCTGCTGTTCTTCAGGTCCCTGAAGAGCAGGCTCAGCGTCCATCTGCCCTTACGCCTTTCTCCATGGAGCTGGATGCAATTTAAATGTGTTGCTCCCTCCCACAGAAACTTCCTGTTTAATTATTAATTACTATCTCTTGATGAACAGATTTACATGATTTTTCTTTTTTTTTTGAGAGGTAGAGTTCCTATCCACTGGTTCACCAAATGTCCACAACATGAGGTGACAGAGCAGGAAGCCAGGAGTCAGGAACTTGATCCAGATCTGTCCCGTGGGTGCAGGGACTCGGCTACTTGAGCCTTCGGCACTGCCTTCCTTGTCTGCTTTAGCAGAAAGCTGGAACCAGGAGCCAGGGCCAGGAACTGAACCCAGGCGTTCCCATGTGAGACACAGGCATCCTAACTGGCATCATACCTGATAAGCCAAATAGCTACCCCCTTTTTTCTTTCTAAAAAGATTTATGTATTAGAAACAGTGACAGAATGGGGAAAAGAGAGATCTTCCATCCACTGGTTCATTGCCAAATGGCTTCAATAGCCAGGGCTGGATCAGGCCAGAGCCAAAAGCTAGTAACTTCACTTGGTCTCCCATATGGGTGGCAGGGGCCCAAGTCCTTGGGCCATCATCTGCTGCCTTCCTGGACACGTTAGCAGGAAGCTGGATAAGAAGTGCAGCAGCTGGGACTCTCTCCAAATGACCACAACGGCCAGGGCTGAGTCAGGCCTAAGCTAGGAGTCAGGAGCCAGGTCCCCCCTGTGGGCAGCTGGAACCCAACCACTTGGGCCACCTTCTGCTGCTTTTCCCAGGCCATTACTAGGGAGCTAGGTTGAAAGTGGAGCAGCCAGGACACGAACCAGTGCCCGCATGGGTTGCCGGCATTGCAGCCTGTGGCTTTACCTGCTATACCACATTGCTGGCCCCATACCTACCTAACTTATCACGATTTTTTATCATGCTCAGTAATAAATATCTTGTTTATTTCCATGTCTCCTTGTTAGTTTTCTGGCTCCCTGAATTGGAACCTGGTGAGTGCAGGGACTTCATCCTTCGTTGCTCGCTGCCTCTTCCCCAGCTCTATTCTGTGGGCTGCACCTGGCGGGCACTTTGAAAATGTCTGATTGACACCACGTGCCAGGCACCTTGCTTTGGGGTTCCGTTTGGTAACAGAGACACAAATGCTTAAGTTGCAAAGAGGTGTGGGAATGAAGTTAGATGAGCTTTAAAGAGGCACAGGTTTCCTAGGAGGGGAGATTTGTGATCTCAGTGTGGAATAAGTAAAAGGAAGGGACAGAGAAAAAGTCCTTGTAGTTCCTCCTGGGCCCAGGTGTTGAGCGTTTCACACTAGGGCTAGCACGGTTGGGAAAGGAGCTTTCTGTGAAGGTACAAGTGCTTGGTCTCTTAAAGCAATGGCAGAGTTTGGGGGTCCATGACTACAATGGGGAACGGGCCGTAGGAGATTCTCAACGATGGGATGCTCACCTCTCCTCTTCTCCCTCCAGTGGTTTGAGTCCTCGGGGATCCACGTGGCAGGACTGGTGGTGGGAGAGTGCTGCCCCACGCCGAGCCACTGGAGCGCCGCCTGCACCCTGCACGAGTGGCTGCAGCAGCATGGCATCCCGGGCCTGCAAGGTGCGGTGACTCCCAGCACGGCTGTGTCGGCACAGCGCGGCCCACCTGGCGGGAAGAATCCAGGGGTCGTAGTCTGCTGGGGAAGGTTGGGATAGAAGGTTTGGAAAGTCTGGGGCTGGGGAACTGAACTATCGCTGAGATCGACGATTTCCATCGTACCAGAGAGAGAACAGTGTCAGGAACCCCTGGCTTCCTAAGGCTCCACGGACAGTGAATCTCACCTTATCAATACCTCTACCACCTTAGATGATTTTGAAGGAAATCGTATCATTTCATCCTCAGATACTTCAGTATCTGTGTAAAAGGGATCTTTTATAAAACATGGCCACAATAATATTGTACTTTCAAAAATGTTAGTTATTCCATAGTATCATGCAAATATGCAGGCAATGGTTAAAATTTCCCTGATAATGATGTTGTCGCTCCCCCTCTTCGTGGAGGAGCAACACTAAGCCCTGCCTAGGCTTCATATCCGAGTCACGGCACCATTATGTCGCTCCCCCTCTTCGTGGAGGAACGACACAGGACCCTGCGCTGTTCTTTCGTCTGCTCGGCCCTCCCCGGGTTTGCTGCTGGTTCTTCCCGGGTTGGCTACTATCCCTTCCACCTCCGTGGAAGGGCAGTTCCCCCTGCCACATTCCCCACTTCCGCAGGGGAGCGGCACACCGCCGGCCGGCTCTCTGGGGGGCTGCACAGGTGTTCCTTCAGCTAGATGTTCCCCTTAGATGTTCCTGGTGCATGCCGTCTCTCTCCTCCTTTATAGTCCTCCTCCGCCAATCCTAACTCGGCTGCCCACACGCCGAGTACGCTGCTCTCCAATCAGGAGCAAGTCCTACAGTTTATTGGTTGAACTGGAGGCAGCTGTGCGGAAGCTGTTTACTTCTCTCCCAGCGCCATATTGTGGGAGAGCAGATGCATAGAATAAGTCTTAATTCCAGTAACTCAGTCTAGTCCGGTTTGCTCCCCACAGATGTTGTCCTTCTTACTTAAATCTGGTTCTACACAAGGCCCCCACGTGGTATTTTGGTCGATGTGCAGTCTGTGGACTTTGTGATATGTGATGAAAGCGGTCGTCTGTCCTTAGGAGTGTCCCATAGTGGCCACTGGGTCGATTACATTCCTGTGGTGTCATTTACTGTATTTTCCCCCTTGATACTATTTCCTGTAAATGGATAGCCCTGGAGTCCTGGTTGAATTTCCCATGCGGTTTTATTGGCAAGAATACCTCACGGTACAGTGCTGCCATCGGGATGGCCCAGCTGTGCGTGGCCTAGGGTCCCGAGCAGAAGTGATGGAGGTGGGGGGATGCCCTCTCTAAGGTTGAGCTGTCTTACCAGGAGTGGACACCCGGGAGCTGACAAAGAAGTTACGGGAACAAGGGTCTCTGCTGGGGAAGCTGGTCCAGGATGGGACAGATCCTTCAACCCTGCCATTCTTGGACCCCAATGCCCGCCCCCTGGTCCCAGAGGTGTCCATTAAGGTACAGAGGTAGAGGGGGAGAGTGTGGCACACGGCAGGGGTGAATCAGGAGGGGGCTGATGTGGGCGTGTCTTACACCTGCTGCTCATGGCTGCCGTCTGTCACCCTTTGTTCCCCAGACCCCACAGGTGTTCAATGCAGGAGGTAGCCCTCGGATCCTGGCTCTGGACTGTGGCCTCAAGTATAACCAGATCCGCTGCCTTTGCCGGCGCGGGGCCGAAGTCACTGTAGTGCCCTGGGACACAGCACTGGACAGTCAGGGTGAGTAGCTGGGGCCAGTCCAGGACCTCAGAGCGGAGGCCTGGGTGGGAGATCTCTGACCCAGCTGCAGTGAAGAAGGGGGAGACCGGGGCTGCTGCTCTCTCTTGGGTCGGCTGCAGCTGTGTCTGTGCTGGTTAAAATCCTGGTTTTAACGTTTTGATGTTTTTGCCCACAACAGAGTACGAGGGCCTCTTCCTAAGCAATGGCCCGGGCGACCCTGCCTCCTACCCCAGTGTGGTGTCCACACTGAGCCGCGTCTTGTCTAAACCTAACCCCCGACCCATCTTTGGGATCTGCCTGGGACACCAGCTCTTGGCCCTAGCCATTGGGGCCAAGACTTACAAGATGAGGTGGGATTTGCTGGGGGGAAAAAGGGACCCATGCTTTTTGTTTTGGTGATTTATGTAATTGAAAGGCAGTGTTAGAAGTCTTCCATCCACTCGTTCACTCCTCCAAATGGCCACAGTGGCAAGGGCTGGGCCAGGCTGAAGCCAGGAGGCTGGAACTTCCTCTGGGTCTCCCACGTGGGTGCAGGGGCCCAAGGCCTAAGTGCTGGGGCCATCTTCTGCTTTCCCAGGTGTGTTAGCACTCATGGGATACCAGCTGGCGTCACAGAGGGTGGCTTAACCTGCTGCCCGGGGCCCACACTTGTGACATGAGGGGTGGGACGTCTCTGGAATCGGAAGAGCTGGTGTTGAATAGCATGGAAACAGGAGGGGGCTAGTGAGGGTAGCGAGAGCTGGCTTTGGTGCAGTGGTGAAGGGGGGCTGAGGGACCTGCGACTCGGCATCGCTTCCATCTCCAGATATGGGAACCGAGGGCATAACCAGCCCTGCCTGCTGGTGGGCTCCGGGCGCTGCTTCCTGACATCCCAGAACCACGGATTTGCCGTGGAAACAGACTCGCTGCCAGCAGGCTGGGCGCCTCTCTTCACCAACGCCAACGATCGATCCAACGAGGGCATTGTGCACGACAGCCTGCCCTTCTTCAGGTGAGCCTGCGCCGTGGGGGCCCTGGGGCTGGGCGTCTGTAGCCTCAGAGCCCCGGGGACCTCAACGGTGAGAAAGCGAAGCACAGCAGCAGACCCAAGTCCTCTGTCCCACTGCCCGCCCCGAGGCCGCCAGTGACCAGCGTGGCCTCATGAGCCGATCTCCTCAACAGTGTCCAGTTTCACCCAGAGCACCAAGCCGGCCCTTCAGATATGGAGCTGCTTTTCGATATCTTTCTGGAAACTGTGAAAGAGGCCTCAGCCGGGAACCCTGGGGGCCGGACAGGTAAGGCCCTAGATCGCGCTGGCTTGTGGACCTGAGGCCCGAGCTGGCTCTAGGATGGACACAGATGGCTGTCCCCCAGCAGGCTCCTGTTTGGGAGGCTAAGGGGTGGGGTGGGCCAAGCCAAGATCCCTGGTGCTGCTTCCATTGAAACTAAAGTCCCGAGTGCTGGCTTCTGGTCCTCGCTCTGCCCCTCACACCAGGTGCTTCGCTGGTTCTGTGAACACATGAATCTAGAAGACTTCAGATCCCACTCAGCTCTGCCAATTTGTGACTTTTGCCTCCACAGTTCGCGAACGGCTGGCTGAGCGCCTGTGTCCCCCTGGGGTCCCCACCCCAGGCTCTGGCCTCCCACCACCACGAAAGGTGCTGATCCTGGGCTCAGGGGGCCTCTCCATCGGCCAGGCGGGAGAGTTTGACTATTCGGGCTCTCAGGTAGGTGGGGAACGGCCAGCCCCACCCTCTGGGTGCCTGGCCCTTGGGAGTGGACGGAGGCTAAAGAGGAGAGAGGGCCAAAGCATGAACCCAGGGTGGAGGGAGGAACTTGGGCGGGGTGGGGGGCAGGGGCTGGGGGATGCATAGAGACCCGAGGCGGTGAGGAATGGAAGTCGGAAGGGAGGGGGAAGTGCTGGCCCGGGGGCTCAGGGAGCGTGCCCGTCGTCTTAGGCAATCAAGGCCCTGAAGGAGGAAAACATCCAGACCTTGCTAATCAACCCCAACATCGCCACGGTGCAGACCTCTCAGGGGCTGGCCGACAAGGTCTACTTCCTTCCCATCACGCCGCACTACGTGACCCAGGTAGGACCGGCGTGCGGCTGGCCTGCAGAGGGGACTCTGAACAGGCCAGGGGCACTCAGTGCCTGGGACGTCCCTCTCCCACCGCAGGTGATACGCAACGAGCGCCCGGATGGCGTGCTACTGACCTTCGGCGGCCAGACAGCTCTGAACTGTGGCGTAGAGCTGACCAAGGCCGGAGTACTGGCCCGGTATGGGGTCCGGGTGCTGGGCACACCCGTGGAGACCATTGAGCTGACTGAGGACCGACGGGCCTTCGCGGCTCGGATGGCAGAGATTGGGGAGCATGTGGCCCCCAGTGAGGCGGCGAGCTCTCTTGAACAGGTTCGGGACGTGGCCGGGCACGGGGCGGGTGGTGTCGTCATCTTTATATCCTGGGTGCCTTGGGTCTAGGCAGCAGGAAATGATGTGTGTGTCTCTCCCCCTCCCTGCAGGCCCAGGCGGCTGCCGAGCGGCTGGGGTACCCCGTGCTGGTCCGGGCAGCCTTTGCCCTGGGTGGCCTGGGCTCTGGCTTCGCTTCTAATAAGGAGGAACTCTCTGCTCTGGTGGCCCCAGCTTTCGCCCATACCAGCCAAGTGCTGGTAGACAAATCCCTGAAGGGCTGGAAGGAGATTGAGTACGAGGTGGTGAGAGACGCCTACGGCAGCTGTGTCACGGTGAGTGCTGGGGGTGGGACAGGGTGCATCCAGAGACCTGGGCTGAGGTCTTCTAGGACTCAGGGTCCTTCAGACCCTAGCTAGGGGCAGTCCCAGAGATAACAAAACAGGCCCCCAGGGTGCGGCCTCCCACCTCCCCTTGGCAGTGACCGCCCTCCGGGGCTCGCTGTCATTCGCAGGTGTGTAACATGGAAAACTTGGACCCACTGGGCATCCACACTGGGGAATCCATTGTGGTGGCCCCGAGCCAGACGCTGAACGACAGGGAGTATCAGCTGCTGCGGCAGACAGCCATCAAGGTGACCCAGCACCTGGGAATCGTTGGGGAGTGCAACGTGCAGTACGCCTTGAACCCCGAGTCTGAACAGGTGAGCCTCCCGGCTGTGTTGTCGCCTCTTCCTCAAGGCTCTGAGGACCCTGGAGTGGATGCTGGGTCTCTGTGGTAGGCTGGGACCTTCGGGAGGGCCCTGTGGCGTCCGTCCTGCTTTTCCTAGGCAGGGCCTCCAGCCCAGGAGGTTGATTCTTTCTCTCTGTTCTCTTTGCAGTATTACATCATCGAAGTGAATGCCAGACTCTCTCGCAGCTCTGCCCTGGCCAGTAAGGCCACCGGCTATCCACTGGCCTACGTGGCAGCCAAGCTGGCTTTGGGCATTCCTCTGCCTGAGCTCAGGTACAGGGGTGGGGGAGAAATTGGTGGTGGTAAGAGTGGGGACTGGAAGAACATACTCACGGGATGGGGAGCGTGGAGAGGGCATTGGCTTGGGTTTGTGGGGGTGGAGAGGCCACCTTGAGGCTGACCACCTCCACCACCCCAGGAACTCCGTGACGGGGGGAACGGCAGCCTTCGAGCCCAGCCTGGATTACTGCGTGGTGAAGATTCCTCGCTGGGACCTCAGCAAATTCCTGCGCGTCAGCACCAAGATCGGGAGCTGCATGAAGAGTGTTGGTGAGAGCCGGGCCCAGACCACACCCCGGGAGCCCCGGGCCGAGGCGGGAGCCCGTCAGAGCTCCCTGGCGCGGCCTTCCAGCTCCCGCGTTGGGCGCTTGGAAGGGGTTTCTCGGAGCTAATAGGGACATTGCAAGTGAAGACAGTGGAAGTCCTCTGCGGTCTGCCCTGCAATACGGACTTCCCGGGAATGGGGTGCCAGCGCTCTGACCATCTGTCCTCTCTTGGGTTACAAATTAGTGTGCTGGGTACTCAAAGGAAGAAAGTGGCTTGACTGCAGGCCAGAGGGGAGTTGTGGCACAGCCAAGAACTGAGAGCTAGCCTCGGTTCCCCGCTGCGTGTGCTCTGTCCCGTCACGTTGCCTGTCCTCGGAGACAGTCCTAAGAGCTCCTCCCATACCTCCCCGTGGCCTCGTCACTTGCCTGTGACACCGGGGACACTTTGTTCCCTGTGCTGGTGTGAGCAGTGGTGTTCCAGGGGAGCGGGCACCGCCGGTGTCCTGGGAGCCCTCCTCAGTCTGAGCGAGGGCCGTCGGCAGCCACTCGCGACACCGCTGCTCTGCCACTTTCCGCCGCGGTCGCCCGCCGATCAAGGTGTTCTCTGACATAGAGTTAGGGTCCGAGCAGGCCCTCGGAGAGCTGGATGAGTGAACGGTCATCCAGGCAGCGGCGGCAGGGCGTGGTGGGTTGGGCTGGTGAGCGTGCTGCTTTGTGGTAGTTTGCCCTTTACAGCAGTGCAACCCAAGCAGCAGGTGGGTGTCCCCGACGGGGCGCGGCCAGCCTGACGGGGAGAGCGCTTCATCGCGCGCTCAGTTCCACTGCAGGCCTTGGTGGCCTTTAAACAAGGACGTCTCCGCTCAGAAATTATTTCCGAATCTTCAGAAATCCTCCAAGACTGCCAAGCGGTTCCTTCTGGAGTGAATTTCTGTTACATGACAATGAAGACAAACATGGGAATGGAGCCATCATGGAATTAGGGCTAAAGGAGGTGGGGCGCAGGCAGCACAGCCACAGACCGATTCCGGGCCGCGAGACAGCGAGGCGTCGCTATCCGTTCAGGTGTTCTTCAGATGAGAGCCCTCACTTTGTGCAAGTTTTATTACGCAAGTAAGAAACATGAATCTGAAAAATGAGGAAAGATAGTTTAGCCAAAGGAAAATACGATCTTGCCATCAGCAGAAATCACCCACAATGATCATGCCCACAGCTTAGAAGGCTGGGTTGTAAAGCGCAGAAAAAGCAAGGCCGTGAGGTTTGTCTTCCCTGTCGCCCTGGTGTGTTTCTGGAAATTTCTTCCGAACCTCGGAAAACGTCACGGCCTCCCCTGTACTGGTCCACGCTGCAAAGCTGGCCGTCCTTCTGCAAGTCAGCAGTCCAGTTATGGGGAACCGCACAGGAATTAGACTGGTGCTGTGTGAGGGCGCACAGCATCGTGGGAACATGCTGGTGACGAGGAAGAAAGCAAGATGCAGAGTGCACATGGGGAAAGTCCAGGAAGAAAAATTATTCTAAGGCCAGTTGGCTCTGGATGGATCAGAGAGCTAGGATCATCTTATTATCCAGAGTTTTCAAAATTCTAAAGTGAGATGGAGGACCTTTTTTTTTCTGCCAAGGGCCATTTGAATAGAACATCATTCATGGACCATAAAAAATTATCGGCTTAAAAGCTGGCCTGCTATAGAAGTATTGAATTTTGAGAGCCACCTGCGGGCCAGACCAAATGATTTCACAGGCCTTACTCCACCTGTGGTCGAGTTCCCCACCCTGTGTGGAAGGACAGGACCGGTGCTGGATGTGAGAACCTCCCGGAAACGTCATGGCAAACCGTGGGTGCCCTGGGCAGCGCACGCCGCCTCCGTTGCCTCCAGGCCCTCATTCCTCCCTCCTGTTCCGCCAGGTGAAGTCATGGGCATTGGGCGTTCCTTTGAGGAGGCCTTCCAGAAAGCCCTGCGCATGGTGGATGAGAACTGTGTGGGTTTTGATCACACCGTGAAGCCAGTCAGTGATATGGTAAGTAGCACCCATCAAGTGCACCCTACTTCTCTGTCCTGGGCCAGGAGCTGGTGGCCAGTGAGAGTAGCAGTCGTTGTCACTGGACATTGGCTGAGAGTTCTGTGTTAACGTGAAGATGGACTATTAGACTTGTTTTTGCAAATAAGGCCGCAGGCTTGGAGAGGTTCTGGAAGTTGCTCAAAGCCAGCAAGGGGGCCAGATTTTGCCAGGTTTCTGAGTGCACAGCCTGTGCTCCGGCACACGGCTTCCCTCCCGTAATGCGGCAGGAGTCACCCAAGCTCCCAGGCTTTTGAACATGCTGACTTGACAGTGTGTTTGGGAATGTGTTTGCTTAGCATTCATTTTCTGGATTTCTTTGTTTTCATGAGAAACAAGGGGAAAGAGTTCCCATCCCCGGGTTCCCTCTCCAGATGCCTGCAATGGCTGGAGTTGGTCTGAGTCAAAGCTAGAAATTGGGAATTCAATCCAGCCCTCCCACGGGGGTGGCAGGAACCCAAGCACTTGAGCTGCGGGCGCTGCCTCCCAGGTCTGCTTTAGTAGGAGTAGGTAAGGCCCCGGTCTAGAGTGGACACCAGGTCCCCAGCAAGGGGGCGGGTGTCTTCACCCCGGGCCAAGCTCTGCCCCTTCTTTATTGAGCCTTCTGACCCCTCCTACCCCCGCACAATTCTTTCTGTGTCCTCCTGCCTGTCTGCTCCCCTTCAGGAGCTAGAGACGCCAACAGATAAGCGGATCTTTGTGGTGGCCGCTGCCCTGTGGGCGGGTTACTCGGTGGAGCGCCTGTACGAGCTCACCCGCATCGACCGCTGGTTCCTGCACCGGATGAAGCGCATCGTAGCACACGCCCAGCTGCTGGAGCAGCACCGAGGGCAGCCTCTGCCGCCGAACCTGCTGCACCAGGCCAAATGCCTTGGCTTCTCGGACAAGCAGATTGCCCTTGCCGTTCTGAGGTCAGAGAGGGCGGTGAGGGCCTCGGGCTGAGAGTGTAGGGAGAGGGAGGGCGTGGGGAGCTCGGAGGCGGCCAGCCTCGACCCCTGATCCCTGCCCTGGGACCTCGCCCCCAGGACCCGTGTCCCTGACCCTGCTTCTCCTTTAGCACAGAGCTGGCTGTTCGCAAGCTGCGTCAGGAGCTGGGGATCTGCCCAGCAGTGAAACAGATCGACACGGTTGCAGCCGAGTGGCCAGCCCAGACGAATTACCTGTACCTGACCTACTGGGGCAACAGCCACGACCTCACCTTCCAGACGCCTCACGTCCTCGTCCTGGGCTCCGGCGTCTACCGGATCGGCTCCAGCGTCGAGTTCGACTGGTGTGCCGTGGGCTGCATCCAGCAGCTGCGAAAGGTCTGGGGGTTGACCTTTCACCCCAGCGTCTCTGCGGCTGTGCTCGGCGCTGGCCAGACACCCATCCTGCCGCACTGCTTCTGTCGCAGAGCTCTGGGCTGCATCTCCCCAGCACCTGGACTTCCTCCCTCCCCAGCTAGGAAGCTGGGTGGGCGCTCTGAAGCAGGGGCTCTGGCTGGGTTCCTCCGGGCTCTCCCCCCCACCCATTGCTGACTGTCTTCCCCCCGCTATTGCAGATGGGCTACAAGACCATCATGGTGAACTACAACCCGGAGACCGTTAGCACCGACTATGACATGTGCGATCGACTGTACTTCGACGAGATCTCTTTCGAGGTGCGAAGGACCGGGGCTGCCCTGTAGCCTGGGTGGCCAGGACCAAGCTGCCTGACCCAAGAGTCTTTTGGAGCTTGGAGTGAGGGGCCAGGGCACGAGAAGGCGCTCACCCCTGACCCCTTTGGTTGCCGCTCTCTGTTTCTCCCCGCCGCACTACAGGTGGTGATGGACATCTATGAACTAGAAAACCCCGAAGGTGTGATCCTGTCCATGGGCGGGCAGCTGCCCAACAACATGGCCATGGCTTTGCACCGGCAGCAGTGCCGGGTGCTGGGCACCTCCCCTGAAGCCATTGACTCTGCTGAGAACCGATTCAAGTTCTCTCGGCTCCTCGACACCATCGGCATCAGTCAGCCCCAGTGGAGGGAGCTCAGCGATCTAGAGGTAGGCCGGGGGCCGGGGCCTCGTGGGCGGCCGGGCGGTGTCGGTGCAGGAGCGTGGCCAGCCAGCTAACCCCCCTGCCTCCCTCAGTCTGCGCGCCAGTTCTGTCAGACCGTGGGGTACCCCTGCGTGGTCCGCCCCTCCTACGTGCTGAGCGGGGCTGCCATGAACGTGGCCTACACCGACGGGGACCTGGAGCGCTTCCTGAGCAGCGCAGCAGCCGTCTCCAAGGAGCACCCCGTGGTCATCTCCAAGTTCATCCAGGAGGCCAAGGTGAGAGTCTGCAGGCAAAGGAGCCCCGGGGCAGCCCCCTCCCTGTGGTCCTGGGTTTGCAGGTGCCGTGCACTGGAAAGGTGGGTTGTGTTGGGGCCACTGGAGGGAGGGAGACATGGCCTTGCCCTACGCACACTGTGCGTGTCCCCCCCGCTAGGAGATTGACGTGGACGCCGTGGCCTGCGATGGTGTGGTGGCAGCCATCGCCATCTCTGAGCACGTGGAGAACGCAGGTGTGCATTCAGGCGATGCCACGCTGGTGACGCCCCCACAAGACATCACCGCCAAAACCCTGGAGCGGATCAAAGCCATCGTGCACGCAGTGGGGCAGGAGCTGCAGGTCACAGGACCCTTCAACCTGCAGCTCATTGCCAAGGTAATCAGGCTCCAGGGAGGGGCAAGAGGCCACGGCTCCTTCACGCTCCGTGCTGGCCGCAGCACCACAGAACCCTGCGGTGTGTGTCTCCTGATGACCCCTGCTGTCTCCGAGCCTGGAGGGAGGGGCGGCAGAGACGCCCGCAGCGCTGTGAGACTGGCAGTCACCCCAAGCGAGGGGCCGTGCAGGCAGGTGGAGCAGTCGTCAGCGAGCGCAGAGGTCTGACCGGCCCCTCTCTGCCCAGGACGACCAGCTGAAGGTCATCGAGTGCAACGTGCGTGTCTCCCGCTCCTTCCCCTTTGTCTCCAAGACGCTGGGCGTGGACCTCGTAGCCCTGGCCACACGGGTCATCATGGGAGAAAAGGTGGAACCCGTGGGGCTCATGACTGGCTCCGGAGTCGTGGGGGTGAAGGTGAGGAGGCCCAGCCCCTGGCGCTGGCGGACAGACCCTGGGGAGGGTTCCCTCGGCTCGCGGAGCTGCCAGCCCGCAGGTAACTGGGCTCCCGCAGGTGAGCACACGGTCCCTGCGTGCTTCCTCTCCAGCTGGGCCCCCGCTCACTGTTACAGACCAGCCTGTGATAAACGTACAGAATCCAGGGGCTATAGGAGAGGGCTGAGGGCAGGGGTGGGCGGGCTGAGCAGGGGCCGAGGGAAGCAGTGGAGCTCACGGCAGCAGGGGGAGGGCGCCTGGGCCCCTCACACTGGGCCCCATCTCGCCTGCCCCTCAGGTGCCTCAGTTCTCCTTCTCTCGCCTGGCGGGGGCAGATGTGGTGCTGGGAGTGGAGATGACCAGCACCGGGGAGGTGGCCTGCTTTGGGGAGAGCCGCTGCGAGGCCTACCTGAAGGCCATGCTGAGCACCGGCTTCAAGATCCCCAAGAAGAACATCCTGCTCACCATTGGCAGCTACAAGGTACCGGGGCCCCGGCGGACAGGCTCTGCTCCCCAGGCCGGGGCTGACCTGGAGGTGGGAGGCGGGAGAAGCACAAGCTCCTCACTGCCCCGCTTGGTCTTAGAACAAAAGTGAGCTGCTTCCTACCGTGCGGCTGCTGGAGAGTCTGGGCTACAGCCTCTACGCCAGCCTGGGCACAGCTGACTTCTACACGGAGCACGGCGTCAAGGTACGGCCCCGACCGCCTGCCCCTGCGTTTGTCTTTGTCCTGGGGGAGAGAGAGAGAGTGAGTGTGAGTGTGTGTGATAAATGTTCTATGTGTATTGAATGTGAACAAGTAGGATAGACCAGAAGGAGGGAAGGTATTTGGTGCAGCAGCCAAGATGCCACTTGGGAGACCTGTATCCGGTATCCAGGTGCCCGGGTTCAAGACCCACCTCTGCTTCCAGTTCCAGCTTGCTAAGGTGCACCCTGGGAGGCAGCAGTGGTAAAGACTCGAGTCCTCGGGTCCCTGCCACCTGTGTCAGAGACCCAGCCCGAGTCCCAAGCTCTTGGCTTTGGCCTGGCCCAGCCTACTTTGTTATGGGCATTTGGGGAGTGAACCAGTGGACGCAAGATCTCTGTTTCTCTGCCCTTCAGATACATTTTAAAAATTAACTTTTTTTTTTTTTTTTAAGAGAAATAAAGTGCCGTGCAAAGACTCCACCGCTATTAACATTCTGCTATTTTTCCTTCTGGCATTTTATCTGCATGGACTTGCGTGTGAGCTCCTGCTGCCCAGTCCTTGCAACAACCTGTCTTACTATTCCACGCAGTCCAGATTCTCTGCTGTCAAGCAATGACATTTTGCCCATAACTAATAGAGGCAGCCCTCAGCCCCTAACTTCTGGGTCCTGCGTCTCCTCATCGTGGGCTCTCAGGCCTGCTGCCCTCCTCCAGATGGCCTTCCTGATCCCTGCCAGGCTCAGGTTGGCCCTGACCTTGGCTCCCGGCCGGCAGGTAACAGCTGTGGACTGGCACTTCGAGGAGGCCGTGGATGGGGAGTGCCCGCCGCAGCGAAGCATCTTGGAGCAGCTGGCCGAGAATCACTTTGAGCTGGTGATTAACCTGTCCATGCGTGGGGCTGGCGGCCGGCGCCTCTCTTCCTTTGTCACCAAGGGCTACCGCACCCGCCGCCTGGCCGCCGACTTCTCCGTGCCCCTCATCATCGACATCAAGTGCACCAAACTCTTTGTGGAGGTAGCTGAGAGCCCTGTGCTGGTGGTGGGGGTGGGGAGCACGACCTCCTGGGGGTCGGGAAATGTCCAGTGAGACGGCCATGCTCACGGTGAAGATGCATGGGTGTAGAGAGGCGGGACATGGGTTAGGGGAAAGCCAGGCCCCACCCACGGCTCCCAGGATCACCCTGCCCCTCCGTCAGAGCCGGCCGTGCCCTCCCCTTGCAGGCCCTGGGCCAGATTGGGCCCGCCCCTCCTCTGAAGGTGCACGTTGACTGCATGACCTCTCAGAAGCTTGTGCGCCTACCTGGTAAGGGCAGCTTTGTGGGGGGCTTGGCTTGGACATGGGGTCAGCAGGTGCAGCCACCCTCAGTGGGGCCTGCTCTGTGCACTGGACTGCGTAGACTCAGGCCCAGAACCCACCTTGCTCTGAGCTTTCTCGTTCCTTGGTTCACAGAGCCCTCGAGTGAGCAGCCTTGTCCCCCTCCCCTCCCCGGTTGATGCTGACTTCCCTGCCACCCCAACTCAGTGCCTGGTGAGCGTCCCTCCCATTTCTGAATCTGCCTCTAATCTTGCCACCACCACGTCTTCCCAGGGCTGATTGATGTCCATGTGCACCTGCGGGAGCCAGGAGGCACGCACAAGGAGGACTTTGCCTCGGGCACTGCTGCTGCCCTGGCTGGGGGCGTCACCATGGTGTGCGCCATGCCGAATACCCGGCCCCCCATCATCGATGCACCTGCCCTGGCCCTGGCCCAGAAGGTGAGCCGCAGCACTCCCGCTTCCTGCCATCAGAGCTCCTGGTGCCGGGGTGGCCTGTGTGGGCCTAGCTGCCAGTGACCTCTCCTGTGTGTCCTCCAGCTGGCAGAGGCTGGCGCCCGCTGTGACTTTGCCCTGTTTCTGGGAGCCTCATCCGAAAACGCAGGGACCCTGGGCGCCGTGGCTGGGTCTGCCGCAGGGCTGAAGCTCTACCTCAATGAGACCTTCTCCGAGCTGCGGCTGGACAGCGTGGCCCAGTGGATGGAGGTGGGAGATGCACCCAGGAGGGCCAGGGCGGGCGGCCCCGGGCGTGTGGAGAAGCAGGGCCTCCCTCACCGTCTCTCTCCACGCCCAGCACTTCGAGACATGGCCTGCCCACCTCCCCATCGTGGCCCACGCAGAGCGGCAGAGCGTTGCCGCCGTCCTCATGGTGGCTCAGCTGACCGAGCGCCCCGTGCACATTTGTCACGTGGCACGGAAGGAGGAGGTGAGCGTGCAGCAGGGTCCCAGTGACACCAAAGGTCAGGGTGTCCTCGGGGCAGGGGAGGGCAGGAGGACGTGTTGCCAGCCTCCTTGCCACGCTGGCTGCAGCTCTCCCAGAAGGGATCCTGGCCACGGGGACTCTGCAGGGCTGGGTGGGTGAAAGGCGCCGCCTCCGGACTTCCACGCTCTCCCCCAGATCCTGCTGATCAAAGCCGCGAAAGCGCGAGGGCTGCCGGTGACCTGCGAGGTGGCACCGCACCACCTGTTCCTGAGCCGCGATGACCTGGAGCGCCTGGGGCCTGGCAAGGGCGAGGTACGGCCCGAGCTTGGCTCCCGCCAGGACGTGGAGGCCCTCTGGGAGAACATGGATGTCATTGACTGCTTTGCCTCAGACCACGGTGAGAGGGCCCAGCGGGCACCTGCTCTGCACAGCTCAAGTCGCGGGGCAGCGCCTGCCAGAGGATGGGCCCCATGAGCCCCCAGGCTCGGATGTGGAGCCTGGTCTGTGACCGGGGGGCGGGGGGGGAGGTTCTGTGGGAGTGGGCAGGCAGAAGAGCACAAGTACGAACCGGAGAAAGCACAGGCAGGAGGTGTGGGCCCCAGGGGGTCAGCAGCCCACGCCCCGGAACACCAGCGAGAGGCTTGGAGGTTGCCGGAAGTGCAGTGCTAAGGCAGTATGGCTTCCCGACGGGCAGGTGCCCGGCCCCGTGGTAATGCTCTCTTCCCCTCAGCCCCCCACACCCTGGAGGAGAAGTGCGGGCCCAGGCCTCCCCCTGGCTTCCCAGGGCTGGAGACCATGCTGCCGCTGCTGCTGACGGCCGTGAGCGAGGGCCGGCTCAGCCTGGACGACCTGCTGCAGCGGCTGCACCACAATCCGCGGAGGATCTTCCACCTGCCTCCCCAGGAGGACACCTACGTGGAGGTGCAGCACGAGGGCCCCGAGCCGGCCTCTCCAGCCCCGGGCACGGTCTGTTCCCCCGCACGGCCTTTCCCTAGTCTAACCCGTGACCCTCTGGGCAGGTGGACCTGGAGCACGAGTGGACAGTCCCCAGCCACATGCCCTTCTCCAAGGCCCACTGGACTCCCTTTGAAGGGCAGAAGGTGAAGGGCACCGTCCGCCGTGTGGTGCTGCGAGGGGAGGTGGCCTACATCGACGGGCAGGTATGCGTGTGACACCGCCAGTCCTCCGCGGCCTCTTCCACGGCACTGCCCTTTGCTTCCTTCCCTTCCCAGCACGCCTGCAGGGCCTTGCTCCCCAGCACCTGGCGCGCTCTGCTCCAGCCGCACTCACCTGCCCTGCCCCCTGCCTGCAGGTGCTGGTGCCTCCGGGCTATGGACAGGACGTTCGGAAGTGGCCACAGGGCGCTGCTCCCCAGCTCCAGCCCCCAGCCCCTGCCTCCAGTGAGATGACCACGGTACTTGCCCTGCTTCTGGGTCAGGGCCACTTGGAGGAGACCCGGGGTGGCAGCTGAACACCGTGACTGCTGGTCCCGGGCAGAAGGCTCCAAGCCTGACGGTGGAGTCCTCACCACCTGCCTCCGTGCAGTGTGGGGGTAGCTGCCGGTGTCGGGGCTCCCCTGAGAAACGCAAGCCCACAGCTACGCCCAGCCCAGGCAGCCAAGTCGCTCTGGGGGCTCAGTCGCCGGCCGAGCAGTTTGTCTGCTGCCTGAGACGACACCCTGAGAACGGGCGCTGGGGGAGATACTGGGAGCTGCAGGGCAGGCGCGGGGGGCGGTGGCCTTCCCTGAGGGGAAGCTGGGGCTTGGGTCTGCAACTGTTCAAAACATGGTGCCAACACTGCCCTTGCAGACTCCCGAGAGGCCCCGACGGGGCGTCCAAGGACTTCCCGACAGCCGCTTCCACCTGCCACCCCGGATCCACAGGGCCTCCGACCCAGGGCTGCCAGGTAGGAGCGCTGTTCCCATGACTCAGAAGCGTGGGGACGGTCCTCTCCCACCCGGCGTCCAGGCTCGCCGAGGCAGGCGCCTCCTCTCTGCCTGTGACCCTGGACCCGCCCCATGCCCCCTGCCCCCTGCCCTTGCCCGGATGAGCCGCCGCTGCTTCTCACAGGCCCTTTTTTGTTGTGGGCAGCCACGTTCCTCCGCCTGGGAGCTGGGACCCCCCGGGGCAGCAGAGTGTGGGGTAAAGCCCTGGTTTTGGTTTTGGTGTGAGCCTGGCTGTTCTCTTGCCTACCACCCCTTTGCCAACTGGGAAGGCCCTGGGAGGGCACCGTGTTCCCACACAGCACAGCCCCCAGGGCATCCTGGGTCTGTCCCCAGAGCCGCTGCTGTCCTTCCTGGCCTCCCCTAACCTGCTGTGGTTCCTGAGGCGGGAGGTGGGTTAACCCGTGCACTGCCAGCCTGTGCCTGGGAAGGGGGGTGCGCTTTCCGAACCTCTGCCGCAAACGCGTCCCTGCCCTGTTGGCCCCTTTGCAGCTGAGGATCCCAAGGAGAAGCCCTCTCGGAAGGCAGCTGAGCCAGGTGAGAGGCGCCCCCCCGCACGCACTCCCCGTGGGGGCCCCTGCCGTCTGGCCCAGGGTGGGCGAGCCCTCTGACCAGCCTCTTCTGCCCCATCCCTCACTGCAGAGCTGATGGGAACCCCTGATGGCACCTGCTACCCTCCACCACCAGTTCCCAGACAGGCATCGCCCCAGAACCTGGGGGCCCCCGGCCTGCTGCACCCCCAGACCTCACCCCTGCTGCACTCACTAGTGGGCCAACATATCCTGTCTGTCAAGCAGTTCACCAAGGATCAGGTGCTGGGGGAGGGAGAATGGTGGTGGCACCCGGAGCTTTGAGGACTCGCGAAGCTGGGGCAGGGTCTCTGGGGGCCGCGCACTGCCTCCCCGGCTGACACGGGGTCTCTCGCAGATGTCTCACCTGTTCAATGTGGCGCACACTCTGCGGATGATGGTGCAGAAGGAGAGGAGCCTCGACATCCTCAAGGTCAGGGTCAGGGCCTGGGGCTGGGGCCAGCCGTCCCCACAGGGACGGCCGTGCCGCGGTCAGAGTGGGTCGTCCTGCCCTGCCGTCAGGTCCCCTCGTGACTGCAGACCCTGCACTGTCAGCTTGGCCCTCTCTGCTCTGTCACACGCTCCCTGTGTTCTCCCTCCCCACTGGGGCAGCTGCCCCTCTGCCCACGAGCGCCGCCATCCGGCCTGTGCTGTGTAGTTACAGGAGAGCGCCGTGGTGTCCCCACTCCCAGGTCAGGGGCTCTTGGGAGTCAAGAGTGGCAGCGGTGGTGGGACCCCCAAGGTCGCGGCAGACCACAAGGAGGCCTGGGTGGGGCAGGGGCGGCAGTGGCACACACACACCCCCTTCATACCTGCCGTCTCCCCAGGGGAAGGTCATGGCCTCCATGTTCTACGAGGTGAGCACACGGACCAGCAGCTCCTTTGCCGCGGCCATGGCGCGGCTGGGGGGCGCAGTGCTCGGCTTCTCGGAGGCCACGTCCTCTGTGCAGAAGGGCGAGTCGCTGGCCGACTCCGTGCAGACCATGAGCTGCTACGCGGACGTCGTCGTGCTCCGGCACCCCCAGCCCGGTGCCGTGGAGGTGAGGCCAGCCCGGGTCCCGAGCTGGGGACACGGGGCAGTTCTGCCCAGGCTTTTCTGTGCCCGCGCGTCTCAGGCTGGGCCGGGCAGGCGGGGGGACCAGGAAGAGTAAGGCAGAGGCCTGAGCCTCAGGCACCAGCACCCTCCTCGTCTCGTTCCCGCAGCTGGCGGCCAAGCACTGCCGGAGGCCGGTGATCAACGCCGGGGACGGGGTTGGCGAGCACCCCACCCAGGCCCTGCTGGACATCTTCACCATCCGGGAGGAGCTGGGCACTGTCAACGGCATGACGGTGAGGGCGGGGCTGGGGAGGCTGGCAGCGCAGGCCCGGTTTCTGCAGCGGAGGGCCTGCTGGGAGCTCTGAGCGGGGGGGCCAGGGCTGCACAGGCTGGGGTCCTGTTGTTGACTGGGTTCCTCCCCAGATCACCATGGTGGGGGACCTGAAGCACGGGCGCACCGTGCACTCCCTGGCCTGCCTGCTCACCCAGTACCGCGTCAGCCTGCGCTACGTGGCGCCCCCCAGCCTGCGCATGCCATCCAGCGTGTGGGACTTTGTGGCGTCCCGCGGCACCAAGCAGGTGAGACCCTCGGGGTGTGGCCCGGAGGTTGGGGGCCAGGCATCGGGCGGCAAGAGCCCACCCTTTCATTCACCTGGCTCCCTCCCCCCCCCCCCCCGCCCCCCAGGAGGAGTTTGAGAGCATCGAGGAAGCACTGCCTGACACCGACGTGCTCTACATGACCCGGATCCAGAAGGAGCGGTTCGGCTCTGCCCAGGAGTATGAATCTGTGAGTGCCTGAGGCTGAGCACAGGCGGGGCGGGGCCACATGTGGGCCCAGAGGGCGCCCTTCGGAGTTGGCCCGCCTCCTCTGTGGCCAGCCCTGCCCTGAGGTGCTAACGGGCCCCGCCCTGCCTTGCAGTGCTTCGGTCAGTTCATCCTCACTCCCCACATCATGACCCGGGCCAAGAAGAAGATGGTGGTGATGCACCCCATGCCCCGAGTCAACGAGATAAGGTGACCCTCAGCGACGGCGGGGCCGGGGGGGGGGGGGGGGGGGCGGGGCCTGGCTGGGCTGTAACCCTCGTGCTTCTCTTGCAGCGTGGAGGTGGACTCGGACCCCCGGGCGGCCTACTTCCGCCAGGCCGAGAACGGCATGTACATCCGCATGGCTCTGTTAGCCACCGTGCTGGGCCGTTTCTAGGGCCTGGCGAGGAACCCCGTGCCCCCCACGGGGGCAGCGCTCCTGGTAGATGGTCGGGAGCGTCCAGAAGCTCACATGCAGCTGCCTCGTGTGGGCGCACTCAGACGCTGGGGCCCCCACCGGCCCTGCTTCCACGGCTGCACCCCGCTGTGCAGTCGCTTTTCTACTGACATTAATAAACAGCTGAGCTGCCTCTGGGTCCTGCTTCCTCGTGAGTAGGGGCATGGGGTGCCGAGTGCAGTAGACAGAGCTCTGTGTGAGGAAATCAAGAGTGGATTCCCAGGTTACACACAGGCCCGCTGGGCAGGCCTGGGCTGGTTTGTGGCTCCTGGGACTCAGGCAGGAACATGTGGTCCCGTGTCACACTGAGGTCAGAGCCAGAGTCCAACCTCCTCCCCCTGTTAAGTCGCACGCGGAGTCCTGGCAGCTCTGCCTTCTTCCTGGTGCTGGGAGGACGCCCGGGTCCCAGTAGAAGGAAGGCTGAGCGCTGGGCTCCGGCCCTTCCTCCTGCCTTCTCATTCTCGCTTGTCCATTGCGTCCTCAGCTTGGGCACTGGCACTGCAGGCCAAGGCAGCTGGGACACTTGCATCCCGTAGCAGAGTTTCAAGGATGCAGCGCCGCTTCTGCTTCCGGTCCAGCTTCCTGCTGAGTGCCTGGAAGGCAGTGGATGATGGCCCAAGTGCTCGGACTCCTGCCACCTGCTTAAAAGACCCCAGTGGAGTGCTGGCTTCGGGCTGACCCAGCCGTGCTTGTCTTGGGCATTTGGGGAGTGAACCAGCAGATGGAAGATTCTCTCTCTCTCTCTCTTTGTCCCTCTGCCTTTTAAGTAAACTTTTTAAAAGCACCTCACCCTGGAGTCCTCCAGCCGCCGTCGCCGTGGAGCCCTCCTGCCACCATGCCCAGGGGCCTCTGCTGGCTGGGACTAAGGAGCACTTCGGCTCGGACCCTGGGGAGGAGCGTGTGCAGAGCAGCGCCTGTGGCTGTGGGGAGGACTCCAGCAAGCAGCTCTTCATTCCCTCATCTTCAGTAGCACAGAAAGATCTGTCTTGTTCCAGCAAACTGGAACTTAGCTCCTGCTGGGTACCAAGCACCCTGTGCAGTGGGAGTTTAAGAACAAGCAAGGTGATTCTCGCCCTCAATTCATAGCCTCAAGTCAAAGGCATCCGGTGGGGGCCAGTGCTGTGGCGCAGCAGGTAAAGCCGCTGCCTGCAGTGATAACGTCCTATGTGGGTGCCGGTTCCAGTCCCAGCTGCTCCACTTCTGATGCAGCTCTCTGCTGTGGCCTGGGAAAGCAGATGGCCCAAGTGCTTGGGCCCCTGCACCTGCAAGGGAGACCTGGAAGAAGCTCTTGGTTCCTGGTTTTGGATTAGCCCAGCTCCAGCTGTTGTGGCCATTTGGGGAGTGAACCAGTGGATGGAAGATCTCTCTGCCTCTGCCTCTTTGTGACTCTTTCAAATAAATAAACCTTTAAAAAAAAAAAAAAAAGGCATCCAGTGACACCTACAGATTAAACTGCTTCCCAGTGGTCCGCGCTACTCCAGCACCGTTCAGCAAGAACTGGCTTTTCCCAAGGACTGTTCCCATGGTGGAGATGGAGAAGGAGAAGGACCACTCCTGACAGCCTGGTCTGCCAAGGAGCTCTGTGCACACTCTGATTCCAAGGCACCCCAACCCTGCAGCCGTCTGATAGAGGAGACGCTCGGAGAAGCCAGTGGGTGGCTGGCGAGACATGCACGGCACAGCTTGGCTTCAATCCACCCTTCTATTAAAAATGGAAAGGGAATGGTCATTTCTGGCTTTAGAGCATCAGGAACCAGCTAAGCAGCAGAAGCTAAGTGTACAGTCCCCTGTGGGGAAGCGGTCCGCCCAGGAGGCAGTGCAGGATGAGCTTGGCAGGTGCACGGCACAGCTGAACCTGAGGACGGGATCACAAGTGTGGGTCAGGAGACACTGGCCCGGCAGGGGCTCCCACGTGCTTTTGTTGGGATTGGGAGTCGGACCCCCCCTGGGTCTGGATGTGGACTTCAGTGTTCATTTATAGCCACAGGTGGGAGCTGGGCAGGAGGCCAAGTCTGCCAGAGCTGTGATCTCTCCAGTCCCACTGTGCGCCCCTTGCAGTCTGCAAACCCCGATCCTGGCTGGTTCTGTCTCCAGTACTGGAGGGCCTTTATGAGTTGGGAAATCGTCGCTTAGAGAACACTTCTTTCCAGAGCTGCAGAGTCTCTGCTGCAGCTCCGTGAACGTGTCAGGGATTATTTTCCCCAGTGCGTACTCGGGAGTCTGTCACAGGACTCAGCCCCGTCCTCCAGCGTGAGCCATGTTTGCTGCCAGCAGCTAAGCGTTCTCGCTTGTGAAGTGGTGGGAGGTGTTCCTGCCCTGATCCTGTCTTTGGCGCTCCTAATCATAACACAGCGCCAAGTTGAATCAACTTTCCCCTACAACCAGAAGTTTGGTAATTACATTGGGAAATAGAATGAAGTGGGGCGGACATCTGACTCAGCAGTTAGTCACTGCCTGGGATGCCCACATCCCCTGTCAGGGCACTCAGGCTTGAGTCCTGGCTCCGCTGCCAGTTCTAGCTTCCTGCACAGCCTGGGAGGCAGCAGGGGATGGTGCAAGTACTTGGCTTTGCCATGCGCAGGCGAAACTGGATTGAGTTCAGCTTGGCACTGCCCCAGCTTTTGTGGGCACTGGGGGAGTGAACCAGCGCATAGATCTGGCCCCCTCTGCTTTGCAATTTTTTTTTTTTTTTTTAATTTGAAGATAAATAAAAGCTGTCTGCAAAGACAAAAATAGCCCTTTTGGGGCAGGCATTGTGGCATAATAGGTAAAGCTGCCGCCTGCGACTCCAGCATCTCTTAAGGGCAACAACTCAAGTCCCAGCTGCTCCACTTCCAATCCTGCTTCCTGCTAATGTGCCTGGAAAAAGCAGCAAAGATGGCCCAAGTGCTTGGGCCCCTGTACCCACGTGGGAGACTCAGAAGAAGCTCCTGGCCCCAGCCATTTCTGGAGTGAACCAGCAGATGGATGCTCCTTTTCTCTCTCTAACTCTTTCAAATAAATAAATAATATAAAAACAAAAACAATCCTTTTAGTAAAACAAGATACCAGTGTCAGCTTGCATCACATCCACCGAGGAATAGCTTCTTGTGTTCTATGTGATTGTCATTAACTATAAACAATCTCCTGATCTCCTTCCCTCCTGATAGGCAAGATTTGATCTATTTCTTTAAGAAAAAAAGAAAGCGGCTCTAAGCATGTGCCAAGCACTGTTCTAAGCACGTTACAAGTAGTAGCATTCTTTGACATTTATTTTTAGATGGCCCTTTCCTTTAATTCCACTCCCCTACTCGCACACTTCCAAGAGGGAGGTCACGTGATGGTGCTTAGCATTGCTGCAAAGTTGTTTCACCCCAGCCCTTCGCCATCCAGTGCAGGAGGACATTCCCTTGCACTAGGCAGCCCCTTGGAGCCTCTGCACCTGCATCCTGCTCCTGCGACCGCTAACCGGCTGCAGCCAGCTCAGTAAACAGCTGGCGACCAAAGCATCCGCGTACAGGTAACTGAAGCTTTTTTGTGTTTGTTCATTCACCAAGGGAACGGAAGTGAGGGCAGGTCGGTGCACCTCAGGGCTTGCAGTTGGAAGGGCAGGGTTAGGTTCCCCGCGTTGACAGGTGCCTGTGATGCTGTGTCAATCTAGACAGTGGAGCGGTGTGAGTCGGGAAGGCTACAGCAAAGCAGGAGGCATTGCGCCACCTGGGGGGGCTGACTGGAATCGCACCGGAATGCAGGAACCGGGTGATGACAAGATTCCAAGGCCAGGAGAGTGGAAATTGAGTTCATGGTGTGGGGCCTTGAGATTGGGAGGATGGAGGCTGATGACGGTGGGCCAGAGGGCCGATCTGGGGTGGGGGCAATGGATTCATTGTCCCGTGATTCCTACCGGGTGCTGTGGCCACCTTTACGGAGGTGTCACGGAGCTAGGGGACTGCAACTGGATAAAAGCTGCCCCTCCGTCACCACCGCATCGCAAGCCCTGGAGCAGTGTTGAGCGCATAGCAGGTGCTCAGCAAACACTGGTTAGCTCAAATCAATGGGAAAGTAATTGGAGCTTTTAAAATCTTTGTGTCTTAATTAGCTCACCAAGAGAATGGGAGTGAGGAGAAATGAGGAGAGAGCTAGAGCTGGACTCAGAAGAGGCCACAGGAGAACTCAGGAGAAGGCTCTCCCAGACCCAGCATTTCAGGAGCGTGAGGTACGGGGGAGCCCTTGGGAGTGGGCTGAAGAGGGTGGAGTCCAAGCAAGGACGCGGTCACAGTAGCTGTCGGTGCGATGCTTCGTGGCAGGGATGTGGCTGCCACGTGTCTCGGGGTCACTTTAGGGGCTGAAGCCATTTGTCAGGAGGCAAGGAAGAAAAGTGTGGGGACTGGGACCTGGAAGAGCCTAGGAAAGTTGGGGAGTGCCGGAGTGAACCCACGGAGTCTTAAGGGCAGCGTCCCCAAGCAGGGCCCCGGAGGAAGCCCGGCATGGTGCATGTCTGGCGGGCTGAGGCGGCGCTGTCCAGGCGGCCACCCTGAGAGCCTTAGCCCAGCAGCTGCCTCCCTGAGATGCCCCTGACTGCTCAGCCATCGAGTGCAGCAGCAGAGCCACCCAGGAAGCCAGCGTCTGTCGGCCCACTGCTGGGTGCTGGGGCCAAGGAGGGATGTGTCTCGGCTTTGTACTGACCCAGCAGCTGAGGACAGGCCGCCAGCCCCACGTCCATCTGCTCGCGTCCTCTGTCCGTTCATTCCTCACCAGCAGCACTGCAGGGCCTTTACCCAGGGCCCAGCTGCGCACTGAGCCTGGACAGGCAACCAAGGCAAGGAGTATGCCCGCAGCAGGGCAGGGAGGGGGAATGGCGAGAAGCAGGCCAACTTCATGGTCAGGGACAAGCAAGCCTGTTGCAACGCTGGAAGCGGCTCCCTTTAGTACGCCTTCTTGCCTTTTATTCTCTGGGTTTGGCTCCCTCGTGTTTCTCCCCAGGCTTTTCCAATCCTTTTTCAGATGGACAGTCCATCATTTTGGGGTCACAAGGAACAGAATGGAGCTGGGCGTGGGCTGCCTCTCCTGTCCTCAGGCTGCCGTAGTAGCTGGAGTGCAGGTTGACTGGGATGAGGGGCTGGGTCAGCGCACGGGCAGTGGCAAGAGCAGGGGAGGGAGGCTCAGGCCCCGGCAACCAGGTCCTGCTCCCCACCCCCTCTGCCCACATACCTTCCCTCGCCATCCCGACAGCAGGGCCCACTTGGGGGATCGCGTGTGGTCACGGCTGCAACGGGCAGGTCCTACTCGGCCTCGCTGGGGCATGGGAACTGCCCAACAACTGGTGGCATTGAGCCGGCGCTGATGGGATGGCCGGGAGCACTCAGCCCGGGGAGAGGGGGGTCCCTGGGAACTGTTGGAGCCCTTCAGCTATAAAAACCTCAAGCACAGTCCCCACAGAGGGGGCGCATCTGCAGGAAAGGGGCTGTAGGTCCTGAGATTCCTCCAGACTTCTGGCCGCCTTGGCTGCTACCATGGCACAGGCCTCAGGAGGGCGCTGCTCCCCTCAGTCAGAGGGCCCTCGGCTCCTCCTTCAGCGGGGCCTGCCCTGAATCCAGGCAGGGGCAGGAGATGGACAGAGCACTGGCACCCCGTAGCTTCCAGTGGGGGACCCCATCTGGTCCGTCACCTTCACCTCTGGCACTCCCCCCGGGAGCAGCCCATGGGGGAGGCAGGGCCCAGCCTCTAGCAGGAGGCCCTGGAATCTGTACCCTCCTGTCCTGACTTTTCCATCTGGCCCTGGGCCTCAGGCGCCCCTTTGACCACTCCCCCAACTGCGCTGGGTGGCGGGACAGCCCCGGCTCTCATCACTCTGGCTGGCCTCTCCTCTGGCCCCCTCCTCACTTGCTCCTCCCCAGTTCACCTGCTGTGGAGAGGCCAAGAGGATGTGCCCAGCCCTGCCTTGCCCTCCCTCGGCTCCCTTTGTCCCCTCCCCTTCGCCCAGCCCTTTTCCTCCCCCTCCCCCCACGGGCGTATTTTATCATCGCAGAGGGCAGGGGCTCTGGGCAAGCGTGGAGGGGCTGGCTTGTGAGCCACTGGGGGAGGCAGGCAGCTGTGCAGATAAGCAGTGCCTGGGCTCCCAAGGGGGCCGTGCTCCTGCTCCTCCTGCCCGCCCCTGTCCCTGACAGACAGAGCAGTGCCTGAGGTGGGCCAAGGGGTAAGCGGCAAGGGCGAGGGGCCAGGAAGTTCCCGCAGACAGAACCCACTGACTGCCAGGCTGGGGTGACCAGGGCAGGTAGGCCCGTTCACCTGGAAGGTGCAGTTACCACTGCCTGCCCCACAGTCCCTTGTGGGCTCCCTAAACATCAGTGCCTGTCCCTGCAGAGTGCTGGGCCCCTGTTCCCCTGGAATCTCCCGCACCCTGGATTCAACCCCAAAGCTACCTCTCATGCATGCCCTCCATACACCAGGCCAGTCACTCCGACGGCTTCGCCCATAAGAAAGCTGAGATGCAGAGAGGGGAGCTAGGACCGCAGGATTAGCAGAGGGCAGAGTCGGAACCAGGGAGCCTGACCCGAGCCCCGGGACTGGGCGAGCGGGTGCAGCAGGTGCTGGAGAGGAGCCAAGTTCAGGTTTGCTGAGACACACGTGGGCGAGCGCGGGGCTCAGCGCTGAGCCGTCACTGCTGGCTGACTTGAGGAAGTCCCTTTCCTTCTCAGCTTCCTGTTGCTCATCTGGCAGGGCTGTGGGGCGAAGGCGACTGGATGTTCTGGGGGCTCCTGATCTCCCAGCATTCCCCAGTGCAAAAGGGGCCAGTGCCAGTGTAGAGGACGGAGCCATGGCTGAAGCTGCCCACTGCCCGCGGGGCGTCCATCGTCCTCTTCCCCACCCTCCTTTCCTGTCCTCCACTCCTCACTCTCCCCACCCCCACCCTGCCGCTCGGGGCCTGTAATCAATGAGACGGAAAATGAGAAAGTATCAGGAGCTAGCAAAGCGTGGCAGGCAGCTGGGGCGTCTTTGCCTGCCACCAGCCTGAGTGGACGGCCTGCAGGCTTGGCCGCAGCCATGGCCGCTGGGCCCAGCAGTGACCGGGCCAGGCTGCCAGCTGCACAGGTAATGGGGCCGATTGGCCTTAAGAAAAGCAGTCCAGTCTTCGTGTACTGACCTGGCAAGATGAGGCCAGGACATACAGTTGGGGCCTAAAAGCAGGGTGCACTACCTCACCTATAAAGTGATCTCATCGTGTTGCTGTGCAGAAGCGGTGGGATGTGCACAAAGATGTGGGGGTGGGGAGGAACAGACGCCAGCGACACTGACGAGCAGGGACAGGGGAAGCATTCGCTTGCTACTTCATACACGCTTCCTTTGTTGGACCCTCGAAATGAGCAAAGCAATTTTACAATAAAGATATTTCTGTTATGGGACGGGGTTGGGGGGACATCACAGAAATAAACATGGGCTCATGAAGACGTCAGCGTCTGCTCCAGGCTGGAGTGACAGCAGCCCGGGGAAGGGAGGCCGGGTAACTCCTGCCCATCCAGAGCACTGGCTCTGAAGTCGAAGCACAAAGGGCTTGATTTTTTTAAAAGAGAAAATCAACAATTCCTTGATGAGACTGGTTTGTAAGAACCAATCTGTCCAAATACGTGGTTCTGAAGACGAAGAGGACCTGGGTGTAAAAGAGGCCCGCAGGGGCCCAAGCCCACACCTGAGCTCAGGGTTGGCATCCCCACTCCCAGGCCTGAAGACCAAGCCCGCGTGAGCACTGGGGTCCAACCACTCCCCAGAGGCCCCAGCTCCCCTCCAGCCAGCCCGAGGGCACCCTGGCCTGCTGGGAACGACCGTGAAGGTACTCTGGCTCCTTGCCTTCCGGCTCTCCTGCAACCAAGCCCAGGGCACTGGGGCCGCTCCTGGAGGCCAGCGCTCAGGCTCCATCCCGCTGGGAAGCTGGGAAGGTCATTCCAGCTCCCAAATGACACACTGGGTCTCCCGTCCCCCTGCAGAGGATGTGGTGAGATACAAGTTTATTGGTGGAGCTGCAGCGGAGTTCTCCCCCTCTCTGGGACGGCTGAGGGCACAGCACCAACGGAGGGATGGACAGACATCCCCAAAGGGACATGTGGACAGAGCACACTCATAGACACCATAGCACAGCCACACAGGCACAGACACACACAGGCCACAGCACCAAGAAACACACACACAGAGACAAAACCACGGGCTGACACAGGGACAAAGTGCAGGCTTTGGGGCCCCTGCATAGACAGAGCGAGAGCCATGTGGGGAGGGGGCCCCTGCTAACCTCCCCTAGGCATAGGCACACGGACAGCACACAGACAGGCAGAAGCCCCAGCCGGCCAGCCGGCCAGCCTGCCACCTGGACAAGCGCACTGCACAGCTCACGGCTTCAAGACCTGGGGGGCAGGGACTGTGGGGCTTCCACACCCCTCCATGCTCCTGAACTCCCAGCTGTGCAGCCTGGCGCCGGCCCACTCCCCACACGCACACTTTGGTCTTGCCCACTGGGGCTGGGGCTGGGGCTGGGGCCGGGGAGTTTGGCAGGTGGAAGGAGGGAGAGAGGAAGGGGTATGGGCCCAGCTCAGCCCCTTCTCTGTGATCAGGGAGATGGGTGCTGAAAGTCCGGGGCTGAGTCCTGGGCCTGGCAGTGGGGTGAGGGCAGGACCGCGGCTCAGGCTTGGGGGGGCTCCCGGCACCGCAGACACTGGGCCATCTCAGGCCGGTACTGCTCCACCTGCAGGGTGCAGCTGGAGAATCCAAACCGGGAGTGGAGCCGGGATGAGGCTTCAGCCAGGACGGCTTCAGGGTCAGCCCCGGAGTCTGTGGGGGAGCGATAAGAGGCAGCATTGGTCCCTGGGGAGAGTCCGCGCACAGGCAGCAGCCTTTTCAGCCGAGATAAGGCTGGAGGGAAGGCCCAAGGGCTGCAAGGCCTGAAAGCCAGGCGTGAGTGGGGAGCTTGCTTTCTCCCTGCATTGCATGAATGGCAGGAATTGTCAAGGCCAGCGTGGGAGGGGCTTGGAGGGGCTCGCCCAAGCAGCCACACCGACCCGTGGCTGAGCCCGAGCCCGGCTAGTTCCCTCTCCTTTTCTGCCTGCTGCACCCCTCCACAGCACGAGGTTGCAGCAGCCGCCTCCTCAACTGCTCAGGACAATCCAGATGTTACATTTTCTGTCCCATGGTCCCCTCTAGTTACCAGCAAATGTCTCAGACTGTATTTTTGGCAGGCAAACTGTATGCCCCTGATTGCTTCTTGCATCTGGAAGAAACTCAAAAACCCTTTGTCAGCTCCTGAGTCACCACGGATATTTTAACAGTGGCATCGTAATGTGGGTATCGTTCTATATTGGGCTTTTTCTCAGCGTTACGCCACAAACATTTTTCCTAGTTGCCATACAGATTTCATAATCACCACTTGCAACAGGGATGCGATTCCCACTGCAGTGATGTGCTGTGCGCCCATCACCTGACCTGCAGGGACTGGCAGTCACTTAAAGGGTCGCGGGTTCTCTGTGCTGCCTCAGAAAGGGTGAACTTCCCCAGAACACTGGTGCCCAGGCCCCCCGGTCTCCAACCTGTGTGTGTGTGTGTGTGTGTGTGTGTGTGTGTGTATGACACAGAGACAGACAGAAAGATCAAGGCAGACCGAACCAATCCTCCTAATCCAAGCTACTGACCCATGTCGGGGTGGGGTGGGGCCGCTGTGGACTCACCGATGGCCAGGTGTGCAGAGGCAACGTGGTAAGTGAGCGTCAGGGCCCACAGGTGCAGTTCATGGGTGGCCCGGACTCCTGGCACGGATAGCAGGGTATCCCGCACAGGTTCAAACCCTATGCTGCGGGGGGTGCCTGCAAGCAAAACCCCCAGGCCTTACTGCCAGAGCACCTCTTCCCAGGGGCAGCCCCACCCCAGGTTCCTCCTCCCCTGTCTGTGCTCACTCAGCCTGGGACACCCCCACCCCAGCCCCCTCTGCAATAGGCCCACAACCCAGGCCTTTTCCTCACTCTCTGGAGACCTAGAACTGGAGTGAGGTCAGAGGGCCCCGGGGTGGGGAGCGCTGCTGTCTGATTCACCTTCCATGAGGATGCGAAGAACATCTCGCAGGGTGGGCGCCGTGGAGCCGAGGGCACAGATGGAGAAGAGGAAGGTGCTGATGGGGTCAGCCGCCTTGTACTGAGGCTGCAGAGAGGGCCCTCCGTTCAGGAAGCAGGGCCCTTCAGAGGAGGACCTGGGGGGCCCCTGAGCACCCTGCAGAGGGGAGAGGGCACCTGCCCCAGGGCGGGAGGAGTCCAGGGGGCTGGAAGGTGGGAGCAGAGTGGGGAGGGGCAGCCCAACCGTGCTGGGAAAGATGGATGGGAGTTGCTGGGAGGAAGGCTGGGGCAGGCCCCAGGCAGTACCTTGAAGTAGATGAGGATGGAGGCAGCCAGTACCCCAAGGCTCTGCAGGAGGTCCCCCAGCACGTGCACAAAGGCTGCCCGGACACTGGTGTTGCCCAGGGGAAGGGGCTGTGCCGACTCATCCTCCAGCGGCGCGTACTCTGGCCCCCGGGACCCATGGCTGTGGGGGGGGCCAGCCTGGTGCAGCACAAAGGCCATTCTGCGGGGCAGGCAGAGCAGCTCAGCGCAGGCGGCCGGCTCCTGGCCTCCTCTGCCCCTGCCACGCCGCCTCCTCTCACCTCCCCAGTAGCCCTGTCTCCACCTATTTTCCCAGTCCCAGGGAGAAAGCAGCATGGTCCAAGACAGACAGATAGCGCAGCCTGGAAGAAAGAAGACTGGCCATAGCGCCAGCGCCGTGGATTCGGATCCTGGCCCTGCTACTTCAACAGCTAAGTGGCTCGGCCAAGTCACCTGGTGTCCTGTCGGGAGCCACTTCGTGCACGGAAAACAAGGGATGATGCTGCCTCCTTCATGGGGTGGGGGTGAGGGGACGCTGGGGACAGCCCTGATACCCAGAGGGCTCTCAGTCTAGGTGCTGATCCCAGCCCCTGCAGGCAAGGCCAGGACACACAGTGGGGTGGATCCAGGTGTGGTGGGGAGGAGGTAGCCAGCTCTCCCATCCAGGAGGAGGAGCCCTGGCCCTGAGGTGCACAGAGCACGGGCCCCGTGCTGGAACGTACAGCAGGTTGGCACAGACTGCGATGCTGGCGGTCAGCAGCATGGCGCCGCCCTCGATGTGGTAGTCGCTGTGCAGCAGGCGGAGGAAGGCCAGGTACAGGAGGATGCCAGTGACCATCCAGAGGGAGACCACAGAGGCCAGAGCCCCCAGAGTCTCTGCAGGGGGACAGGAGCTGTTAGAGACCTGCTCAGGACTCCAAGAGGGTCCCTCTGGCAGGATGGGGGCGGCCACTGGGTCACGCCAGGGCCTTACCTGAGCGGTGCCAGCCGAAGGTCATGGTGCGGGTGGCTGGGCGGGTAGAGAGCCAGAGGGAGAAGAGGCTGCCCATCATGCTGCCCACGTCCGCCAGCAGGTGGGCGGCGTCAGTCATAATGGCCAGGCTGTGCGCCAAATACCCACCTGTAAGGTGTACAGTGCACAGCACAGCGCGGGCAGGGACCCAAAGGTGACCGGCACCTCTCGCAGGGGATGGGCAGTTCTAGTTTCTTGTCACTCAGCCACAATGGCACGTTTGACTTTACTAACCAGACAATGGGGTTTTTAAACACCAGTTAACAGTGAGAAGTCAGCCCCATCCACTGGCCCAGGCCTAGGCCTGGGACTTTGTGCTCTGTCCCTCACTGCCTTCCACTTGCTTTAAAAAAATAAAAAAGAAAAGAAAGAAAGAGGAGAAAAAAGAAAGAAAGAAAAAAAGATTTGTTTATTTATTTGAAAGACAGAATTAGGGAGAGAGGGAGAGAGAGAACAAGAGATCCTCCATCCGGTGGTTTACTCTCCAAAATGACCACAACGGCCAGGGCTGGGCCAGGCGGAAGCCAGGAGCCTGGACCTCCATCTGGGTCTCTCAGGCAGGTGGTGGCGACCCAAGCACCTGGGCTGTCATCCGCTGTTTTTTTCAGGCACCTTAGCAGGGAGCTGGATCAGAAGTAGAGCAGGCGGGACTTGAACCAGTGCTCATATGGGATGCCAACATCGCAGGTGGTGCCTTAACCTACTGTGCCACAACGCTGGCCCCTGCCTCCTACTTCCTGAGACCTGGGCACGCAGGAATGCCTTCAGGGCTAAGGCAGGTGTCGGGAAGGTGGGGCTGACTTACCTACCACCTCCCCGGCCATGAAGACGAAGCACACGGCGCAGGCGGCGTACAGCTGCCTCCGCGCCTGCAGCCTCTCCGAGGTGAGGCCCGGCGGCGGCCCGGGGTCCCTGTGGCAGTGGTGGAAGGCCATCTCCACAGCTTTCGGCTCCTCGGGGAGGGGCTCTGAGGGTTCTGTGAAGAGACTGTGGCAGGCGACATGGCTCAGCATGGGAGACCCAGATGGCATTCCAGGCTCCTGGCTTCAGCCTGGCCCAGCCCTGCTCACTCAGTCCCCCAGGGCATCTCGCACCCTTCCCAAGGCCTGGTCCTACGTGGGAGCTTGGACAGAGGACCCAATGAGACATGGGGGCCAGCTTCCTTCCACACCCAGCCAGAGAACCTCACAGCTGGGAACCACCTTGCAGCCAGTGAAGTCGGACGTCAAATAAAGGACAAGTGCAAGGCTGAGACAGGGAGTGGACTTAGGGAGCCCACGCAGCTGCCATGGCAGAGCTGAGGCCAGACCCCAACTGAGGGGATCTCTTCTGACATGCACCACAAGGGATGCACAAGGAGCAGTCTGGGAGTGTCTAGTGAACAAGACAAATGTGTGCCCAGTCCTACAGCACAGAGCAGAAGGTGACCACGGCCATGGATCGGGGCAGTGCGAGTGCCCTCAGGGCTTGGAGATTCAGTCTGTGGAGAAAGTCAGGGAATGAGAAGGGCTTTGATAAAGAGCAGGTGGCTGTGCCAGGGAGGCAGCCTGGAGGGCAGGTGCTATGAAAGCATGTGGGGCTCAGCACAGGGCCCTGGCCTTGGTGAGCCTCTTGCCAAGACCCCTTCCCTCTCGAGCCACGCAGCTGAAATGCGGCCCTTTAACAGGGAATAGAATACTGGGACCCAGAAAGCCCAAGATTCCTGGTATAGAGAACTGGCCAGGTTCCAGAGCTGGGGTTGCCATGGGGAGGGGGGGTGCAGACTCCGACAGCTGGGGCTGATGGTGGTAGGAGCACTGGGTTTGGAGTCCAGTGGACACTAACTGGAACTCAGTCTAACCATAAGCACCCAGCAGCTACCACCTCAACTGCATGCTACTCTAAGCTTCCCTTGACAAATGTACAGAGCTGGGGCCTCGCCTGGGGGGCCAGAGGCTGAGCTCTGGCTGACTGAGCTGTAAGTCCAATTCTCACCCCTACAACCATCCCACTTGAGCCCCAGCTAAGACAGACTCTTTCACAGAATAAAGAACCTAAACAGAAAGCACCGCCCTTGACATACTCCTGGAGGTGTGACAAGAACACTCATGGTGAAAGTGACACAGCTCCAAGTAGAAAGGCGAGCACAGTGAGTGGAGTGGGGGAGGGTGCCTGGGGCCCTCCAGCGGGAGAAGCTGCCAGCCAGGTGAGCCCAGGTTGGAGGGGGGTGCGAGTAGGGAAAATCCAAGTGCTAGTAGGTAAATTCATCTCTTCAATTTCAAAAGCTCCTGTTCCGAGGCAGACCTGGCTGTGATTCCGGGTGTGCTTCCAGAGGGGCTGGGGAGATGAGGGTGGCTTTGAAACCCAACCTCATTCATTCAGTGAGGTGTGGCAGGTGAGGCACACACAACGCAGCCTGCTCTAGGGGTGGGGGGAGACAGATGTGCAGCGAACAACCGACTACACAGCGAGAGGCTGGTGCGAGGAAGGCTATGAACAAAGGACGGTGGGGCCCAGGGCAGGGAGTGACCTGCTCTAATGGGGGCAACAACTGCACACGGCGGTGAAGCTGAGGCAGCGGTGGAGGAGGGTGCTCCGGCCCCCGGGAAGCAACATCTACAGGTCTGCAGCCAGGGTTTCAGAGGTTCAGGGGGAGGGGCCGAGGAGGAAATGACTGTCTCAGAGGGACACAAAGGCAGATGCGTGGTGGACTCAGCACCTATGTCCCCAGCCCTCCCATGACCTTGCTGATGGGAGGGGACGGAGGGGGCCAGGCCAGGCCAGGCCAGAGGCTCCCTGCGCAGAGTTTCAGAGGAGGGGTAGGGAGTCGGGGAGAGCCTCTTTCAGAAAATGCTGCAGGATTGGGTGACTAATGGTCATACGAGAATGGAGACCGGATGGGAGTCCCCGACGCGGGTCTGAAGAGCAGGCAGAGGCTGGGTAGCTCTGGGCAGCGGGCAAGCCGCTTCCCGGGGCCTTGCAGACACAGCCCAGCCAGTCATCAAGGTAGCCACCCATCAACAGGCTGCCCCCTTTTTCTGCATAAATCGGGCACTAAAGAAGGCTTGGTGGTGGTGTGTGGGTGTGTGAGTGGGGGGACATTCTGTTTAGAGAGGAGAAAAGGCGGCTTCCTCTCTCCTGTTCTTTCCCTCTCTCTCTCTCCCCCCTCTCCCTCTCTTCCTCCCTCTAAACCCCCAGCAAACAAACAATGCTGTGTGGGGGAGAGGGGTGTTGTGGGGAGGGAGAGGGGCTGAAGCACAACCAAAGAATACGGAGAAGAGACCCCCGGGGCCAGGGAGCCCCACAGCTGCCCACCTCTGCAGTCCCCTGCGGGAAGCAGAATTCTCTCCCGCTCCCCCCACCCACCCAGGTTAAAGGCCCCCCACCCAAACATCGAGATCCACGTCTGAGACAAAAGGAGAACGGCGGCGAGACAAACGGGGAGATTGGAAAAAAGCCGAAGACCTGCCAAATTCCGGAGACTCACGGACCGTCGGCCCCATGCACAAAATGGCCAGTGGAAGGTGGCCCAGGAGGCCCCGCGCAGCAGCTCCGAGGGGCAGGGCGGCCGGCGGGGCGCGCGGGCGGTTCTGCGGCCGCCCCCGGCCCGCTGTCCCCGCCGCTCGCGCCTCATTTCACACCTCGCCGCCCCCGGCCCCGTCTGTGCGGAGCCGGGAATACCCCCCGCCGCCCAGACCGCACCTGCTCCTTCCCTGCCGCCCCCTCGCCTCCCCGCGGCCGCCGCCTCCCAGGCGCCCACAAGACCCGCGGCCGAGCCGGGCCCTCCCTCCGGTCCGGGTGCCCACAGCTGGCTGCAGCTGGAAGGGGCGCCCAGAGCCCGGGTTCGCGCGGGGAAGGGCCCGGGGCCTCGGCGGCGAGGTGCGCCCGCTCCAGGGCCGGGCAATGCGGACATCGGGGCAGCCGGCTCGAGCTCCGGCCCGACGGAGCGATAGTCGCTCCCGGTAAGTCCAAGGACTGGAAGGGAATGGGGTGGCCAGGAGCAGGCGGAACGGGCCATAGGGGTAGGAGAGCGGGGGTCGGGGCTGGAGGGGACAGAGTCTGGCGCCGCGAAGCCAAGGGAAATTCGGTGCATTGGGGCGGCCGGCGGGGTCCGGCGCCGGGGAGACAGCGAGACGGGCGGATGGCGGAGGTGGCACCCGGGGCTGCCCTACCTCTTCAAGCGTAGGCCGCCGCCCGCGCCGCCACGGTCCCGGGGGCTCACCAGGCGAGTGGTCTCCGAGCCCCCTGCCGCCGGAGAGGGCTCCATGTCCCCGCCGCTGCCGCGACCGTCCAGGCCCCACCGAGGGGGGCACAGGCGGGGCTGGCCCCGCGCCTAGTCCGAGCGGCCCGCCGACCCCCGTACTCCCCGCAGGGTCGTGGGGCCACCAGTGTGGAGGGAACTGCGGCGACTGTGGCGCGCGGATTCCGAACCGCAGGTCCCGCGGCCGCCGGGGCCCCGCCCAGCGTGGGGCGAGCTCCTCAAGTCCCGCCTCCAAGCTCCCCGGCCTCCCTCCCACGCCTAAGCCCCGCCCCGGGAGCCCCGCCCCCATGGCCCGAGCCCCATTGCCCGGCGCCCGAGTCCGGTGGGGACGGCGGGAGTGCCCCACTACCCGGGTTCTAGAAAACGCCCCGTGGCGGTAGCCCCTCCCCCCGAGAACTAGTCTCGCCCTCCGCCCCGCTCCCCCCATCAGTGACAAACGGAGCTCCTCCAGGCTGGGGATGTCCCCATCAACCTTGGTCCAAGGAACACCCACCCTCGCCGGCCTGCGTGGGGGCATCGCCCAGCCACCCGGTCTCCCGCGGCTACAGCCTTCGCGCCGAGGCAGAAGCAGATGACGGCCCTTTACCTCTCGGGGGAACCAGAGAGAATGTGGGTGCGTGGTGACGCGTCCGGGAGAACTCCGGGGCCTCTGTGGAGTCTGGGGTACGAATGCACCAGCAGACTCCGCGGCCGCGCTCCGTACCGCCAATCCCCGTTTATTTTTAATTCAAAGAGCTGAGCGACAGTAGGCTTCCTACTCTCCTCCAACCCATCGTTGCTCGTACCTTCCGGGTGAGTAAACCGAGTCCCAGAAGACGTGAACAGGACTTGGCGGCCCGCAGTGGAGCCCCGTCCTCCTCCCTCCCGGCCCGGCCCGAGGCGCCGCACGGTCCCGTCCCAGGCTGGGGCACGAGCCCCTGTTTCTGGAGGGAGGCTGAGTCGGCTTAGCGGCAGATGATTCCTGCTTTCCGCACCTGCAGCGCCTCCCTCGGGGACCTGGCGCCACCTCGCTCAGCCTCACCGAAGCCCGGGCACCGCCAGGACTTACAGCAAAGTCGGAGTGAGTGGAAGCTTCCTGCCTCTAGCACCTGCCGCCACTGTGGAATGGAGGGGGTGAGAATTGGATTGTGCATCTGAACTGTGACAGTCTGTGAAGAGGAGGCCCGTAGGAGGAGGGGAGAGAGGGAGCGGGCCAGGGGAAACGTGGAGGGTGGGAGTGGTTAGTGAGCCTAGGCAAAGAGAACCCATCGACCGCATCCTTCAGAGCACACGGTGTGTCCTGCGAATAGACACCTACCCTAGACATTGTTGTTCCAAACAATGAGATCGCATGTGCACTTCCAAAAAAGAAAAAGAAAAAAAAAAAGAGCATGTGCCAGATAGAGTGGTTGATGGGGAACCCGGGAGAGCTTCGCGGAGGAGGTGAGGCTTAAACGGATTAGGCAAGCTGGGCGGCGGGCTGGCTGTTCCGGCGGGGGAGAGCGCAGCTGGGCCCGCGCCAAGGTTCGCGGGCGGCAGGTGCTAGGGACCTCACTGCGCGGCGGCGCCCGGCAAAAAACGCACGCCAGGGTCTGCGCCGAGCCGCGCTGCGCCCCGCCCACGCCCCGCCGGGCTGAGCCAGTCCTTCTTCGCCCACCTCCCTCCCCTCGGCCGAAGCCCAGCCGGGCGAGACTGAGAGGGGCTTTCGCCCTCCAACCTCCTCTAGGGGCGTGGGGCCTCGGCGCTGTCCTCAGATCCCAGAGGGAGCGAACTTTGGCGGCAAAAGGGGAAACCACCAGCCAAGGTCACCTTGTGGACCCCAGTCTGAGCCAGGGTGACACTCAGACTTCTGCTGGGCGATGTCGGGGCACCGGGCACGTCCCGCCCGGCGCTGTCGGCCTTCTAAGCGTCGGGCCTGGGGTTTCCCAGTCAGCGCCACGGAGTGAGAGTACGAGAGTACCGCGGCTAGGGAGGGCTGGAGAATAGGGAGAAAGCATGGGGCCCTACCGCAGGAGAAACCGGCTTCTTGGCACGCATGTCCCAGCGATGACGACAACAGGGGCAGCAATGGCTCCCTCTGGGAGGTCCCTGCCGGGCAGGCTGCTGCTCCCGGAGGGCAGCCCCGGGTGCAGACGCTGGCACTGCCCACCCCCAAGCCGGCCAGGAAGGGCAAGGGGCTCACCGGCGGTGGGAATACCAACAGTTGCCTTTGCTTGGAAAAGCCTGGCCCCAAGATAGGGTGCCTGCACCTGTTCCTCAAAGAGCCAGCACGTGGCCCCGTTGACTATTCTGCAAAGGGTCCTCTGCAGTGCCAGGCCTGAGGAAAATCACTCCTGGGCTGGAAGGTGGCCTGGTTGAACCCTGGCCTTGCCAGAACTGCTCATCCAACACTTACTCTGGCCATGCACCTTGCTAGCCTGAGGGTCGATGGTGAGAAAAAACAGACCTGTTCCCTCCCCTCCTGACTGGATCCAAGAGATTTCTACATCCCTTGTCACCGACTCACGCACAGCTCTGACTGCCTGCCCAGCCCTGCCTCAGGTATCGGTCTTCCCTAAGCTGAGCCATTAGGCCGTGGTTAAACCCAAATGGCTGATGGAGGCAGGAAGCCAGCTTCTAGAAGCTTCTATAGACCCAGCCTAGAAATCCACCCTGGATGAGTTCCTGTTGAGAGACGTCAGCCAACCCCATGCTGAGATCAGGATTCAAGCTAGACTAGAGATGTTGAGTAAAATTTGGAATCTAGGGGCAGGCGCTTGGCACAAAGGTTAAGATGCCACTTGGGATCCCCTCATCCTGTACTCCAGTGGTTGGATTTGAGTGCTAGCTCTGCTCCAACTCCAGCTTTCTGCTGATGTGAATCCTGGGAGGCAGCAGGTGATGGCCCAGGCAGGCCATCTGGGAGACCCACACTGAGTTTCCAGCTCCTGGCTTTGGCCTGGCCAAACCCTGGCCATTGCAGGCCTTTGGAGAGTAAACCAGCAGATGGAGGATTCATTCTCTCTTTCTCTCATCCTCTCTCCCCCATATACTCTCTCTTTCCCTTTCAAATGAATAAAATAAGTTTTGTTAAAAATTTTGGAATCCAAGCAAGTGGGTAAGAGTTAGCGCTCGAGAGATCCTGACCCAGTGGAAGGGATGGCAAAGCAACCCGGAGCTCCAGCTGCTCCATGCCGACAGCCCCTGGTGGGTTTGCGCCCCTCTGTGGGACTTATCTGACCACAGCACTCACACAGGGCAGGGACAGATGTTTGTCTGGCTTGTCTCCTCACCACAGGGCAAGCTCTCTGAAAGCAGGAACTGTGTCTTTCTCAGACTGTGTCCCCAGCACCCCACTAATGGCTGGCACACAAGCCACCCAAGAGAGGACGAGCTGGCTGTCAGCCTGGAAGCAGGATGGACTTCAGATGGCCAGAAGGGGGTGAGGGAGGGCTGCCTTTATGTATTCGTTTATTTTTAAAGATTCATTTATTGGGGGCGGTGCTGTGGCATAATAAGCTAAGCCTCTGTTTGCAGTGCCAGTATCCCATATGGGCGCCAGTTAGAGGCCCGGCTGCTCCTCTCCTGATCCAGCTCTCTGCTAATGGCCTAGGAAAGCAGCAGCAGATGGCCCAAGCACTTGGGCCTCTGCACCACGTGGGAGACCCAGAAGAAGCTCCTGGCTCCTGGCTTCTGTTTGGCCCAGCTCCAGCAACTGCAGCCATTTGGGGAGTGAACCAGTGGATGCAAGACCTCTCTCTCGGTCTCTCCCTCTCTCTGTCTGTAACTCTGCCTCTCAAATAAATAATTATTAGAAATAATAAAGATTTATTTATTTATTTGAATGAGAGTTACAGAGAGGGAGGGAGGGAAGGACAGAAAAAGAGAGAGAGAGACAAAGAGAATCTTCTATCTGCTGGTTCACTCTCCAGAAGGCCACACTAGCCAGGGTGATGCCAGCCCAAAGCTAGGAGCTTCATCTGGGTCTCCTATGTGGGCACAGGGGCCCAAGCACTTGGGCCATCTTCAGCTGCTTTCCCAGGTGCATTAGCAGGGAACTGGATTGGAAGTGGAGCAGCTGGGACTCAAACTGGTGCCCATATGAGATGCTGGCATTGCAGGCAGTGGCTTTATGCCGCAAAACTGGCCCCAGGGCTGCCTTTAAATATTACTGCCTCAAGGAAGCCTACCCTGGACCCCAGACTAGATCAGTTCTCACGTGATGCACTCTGCTTTCATACTACTGTGTCCGTCTTACCACTTAAATTGTTATCTGAGAATTACCTGTTTCTTCATTCGGCTTCCAGGATACTGTAGTAAGGTTTTCTTCCTCCTTCTGACTGCTTATTTTCAGTCTCCTTTGCTGGTTGCTCATTATCTCTTATGTCCTCCGTCTTATTTTTTCCACTTTATTTGGAAGGCAGAGAGACAGAGAAACAGATCTTCCACCCACTAATTCGCTCCCTAGATGCCTGCCACGGGCTAGCCAGGGCTGGGCCAGGCTGAAGCCAGTACCCAGAAACTCAATCTGGGTTTCCCATGTAGGTGGCAAGGACCCAAGTACTTGGGCCATCATCTGCTGCCTTCCAGGTGCACATTAGCAGGCAATTGGATCAGAAGCACAGTACTCAGGTGCTCCGATATGAGTGCAGCCACCCCAGGCAACAACTTAACTGCAGTGCTAAGTGCCCACTCCTCCTGCATCTTTAATGCAACATTAGCTGGTCACTTGGTCCCCTCTCATCTTTGTACACTCCCTTGCATGGAGCTATTGTCTAGTCTCAAGTCTTTAAAAACTATTGAGTAACAGCAGAAAGCAATTGTTGTTGAAGTTGGATGTTGGGTACCTGGGGAATCACTGTATAGTCTCTCTGGTTTTGTATGTGTTTGAAATTTTCTATTAAAACAAAAAGAATAAAAAAAAAAACAAATAGCATTTGTATGAGGATGATTCCCAGATCTCTCAGTTGGACTCCAAGTTCACAGACCCAATCATCAACTTGACCTTTCTTCTCTGTAAGCCCTAATAATACGCAGGCATCTCAAGCTTCCTAAACCCAAAAGAGTGCTGATTGTCACTCTATCCCAAACCTTCTGCTTCTGCAGTCATCCCGTATCAGCACCTGCTAACTCCATCCTTTGATGTGCTCCTGCTAAAAATCTCAGGGCCACTGCTTTCACCCCACACTCAGTCTGTCTACAAATCCTGCCC